CCTTAGGGTTATGTAGCCAGCAGTTCTATTAACTGAATCACCTTTACAGCCCTAAACTTTTCAGTTTTATAAGCCAAAACTACTGGAGATTTACTGTGAGTATTAGAATGAGCTACTTAATTTGAGGAAGTACTTCCCCCATCTTGTAGTACTTGCTGTTGTAACTATATTAGCCAACCGGTTTAACAATTCTGATTTAGTATTCATTTGTTTATCAAATGTGAAAATACTTTTCTTCTTGTTTTATTTAACTTCATATTCATTCAATAAGATTGTAATGTCAACTATATAGCAATCACGAGTCACAAATAAAGTCTAAATATTAAAAAACGAAACAGAGAATTCACTCCATTTCGTTTTTATGCTTTAATTCTGCATGCTCATAGTATAGCCAGGCAGAAGACTATATGTTAAGTGTTAAAATGTCTTGTATTACCTTTTCCCCAGAAACAGGATACCTACAAGTAGCATTTGACTAACAATATGTATGCTAAGCATGACACATATGCATGAAAATGACACAATGAAACCTATTACTTGATATGCTAACCAAAGATTAATTTAAAAGGGGGAAGAAAAAGGAAATTGGCAAGTAATGTAAGTTGCTGGTTTTCAGAGATACTGTTAAACAACAAGAGACTGTTAAACAACAATCCAACCTCCCTCATAATAAATGACTTGAATACATCCATAGGTCATGTTCACCTATGACCTGGCAACAATGCACGTTCATCAACACACTCTTGGGGGAAAGGTGAGAATCTACTGCTCTCATACACTGCCCATGAGTGAATAGGCACAAGCTCTAGACAACAACTAATCGGTATCTACCAACAGGGGAATGCATATTCTTCTCTGTGTTCTTGGATCAAATAGAGGGGGCTCATGTGTGCTGGGCAAACGCTCCACAACCGAGCTACACATTGAGCCCTTGGGTTTTTTAGACACAAGAATAGGGCTGGGAAGATGGCTCAACATGTAAAGCACTTGCCATGCAAGCATCCAGACCTGAGTTTCTATCCCTAGCACTTACAATAAAATTTCTAGAGACTGACCATCTTATGACCCATTTACAGTTTTTTTCAAATTGCTTAAATCATTTTTAGCATTTATTTATTTCCTTGAGCACAGGTGTTAAATGTTATTTAAACACCTTGTCTGATAATTCCAGCACCTAGGTCATTTTCAAGGTATGATGGTTAATCTTGTTTTGGGGACTGGACTGAGAGATGCTGGTGTGTTACTAAAAAAACTCTTCCAATTGTATCTATGAGGGCATTTCCAGAGAGCAGCAACAAACGAGAGGAAAAGACCCACCCAGAATGTGGGGAGCACCACTCAATAGGCTGGGGGTGGGGCAGATGAAAAAGTGGGAGGAAGCTGGTCAGCTTATGCTTGTTCCCTCCCTGAGGGAGTGCATTGCTGCTGCTGTCACCAGGGATAGCAGACTCCTCCATCTTCACCCTTCCTATGCAGACTCAGACCAGGGAGTCTCCAGGTAGCTTCAAGACTTCACCTTTGGACCATGCCCATCACTGCCCACATCACCCCTGTTATGAGGCTTCTGGCTGCTTGGAGTGAGCAACTATTTGGATGAACAACTACTAGGCTCTGTGGTTCCCCAACACATCAAGTTTGAACCAATACCCAATCATGCAAGACAATCCAAAAAATTACCTATATATGTATATATATATATATATATTTTTCCCCTCTTTTGGGCCTGTCCTCTAGAGACCTGGATAATGGAGGTGGCTCTTTTGTGTTTTGGTTTTTCTGTTTCTGATAATGTTTTATATTTTTCTAGTTCTTTATGTATCAAACTGTTTAGATTTTATTCTGGAAACGGTGGATGTTATTTTGTACATACTTCAAGTTCTGTTTTACTCCTCAAGAAAACAAACACTAAAACAACTGATGTTCAGACTTGTACTGTCAACTATGCCTTGAGTTTTGTGGGCAGCAACTCCAATCCCAGTTCATCTTTAAGACCTGGAGTTTGTCATGGGCACGGTGTCTCTGGGGCCAGTCTTGGAGTCCTATGTGGGTTCACATATAGGCACAGAGGAATGGCTTTTTGTAGTTTCCTGCCCTCGACCGTTTGACCTGGTATGGCTGTTGGATGCTGCTTTTGCTGGTTTTTACAGACTGAATCAGATGCCAGGAAGGGTTTAGTCACACCTGCTCCGCCACCTACGCGGCTACAGTCAGCTCCTGATGCAAACCCTTCCCCAAACATGCACTGAAGGGGACATTGAGTCATGTACTCCTTTCTGTTCTCACTGTGGGGACACCAGACCTTGAACAGAGACCCACTTCCCCTTCGGCCTGGGAGTAGGCAGCTGTAAGACAATGTTTACTGAAAACATGTTTACTGAAAACAATTCAGTGCCATAAAGCTTTTGGTAGGGCTCCCATAAGGGCTTGCTCACTGAAACACCATGACTTTGATCCCCCCTACGGCTAGATGCTTCTTCCTGCTCCCTGCCGTTTCTCCCCAATTCTGGTGCAGGAGATTTTTAACCACCAGCCAGGAGGGTGAGAAGTCTGTGAGAGCTGTGAGAGGTGAGAGCTCGGTTGGAGAATTGTGTGTGTATGGATGGCAGAAGTCCTTAAAAAGGGAAGCGTTTTTTCTTGGGGAGTTCTCCTAAGCCCACTTGGGGAGCATAAAGTTTTCTTAAAGCAATCGACTGGTCTCTGTGTCATCTATCCCGATCACCTCGCTACATTCTCGGATGCAGGCTGCTCAGCAGGTGCGACACTCACTCCCCTCTACAACTACTTACTTATTTTTCGGAATCTCACAGCAGCCTTTAAATGTCTGGGACTTACAGGTACCATCAGGATGAGAAACAGTAAAAAGTTTATATCATCATATAAACTCCTTTTGTTTGACACATAAACATATAGTGTGCATGCTAAAAACTACATTATGTAATTAAAAGAGTGTGTGGCAGTGGCCAGTTTCTTAAGATGGGTAATGTCTACAAAGAGGTATTTTAGAATTGTTTTGTATGTTTATATACTTCATATGTTACATACTGTAACTATGTAGTCTAAGCTGTCATGGTGGCTGCTCTTGCTTGCCAACTTGGCTACATCTGGAATTAGCTAAGTAACTGGGTACACTTGTGAAGGATTTTTCTTAATTAATCCATATTAAGTGGAAAGACCCTCGTTTAATCCAGACCTCTGAGGTGGGAAGAATCTGGACCACACCCTCTGCTGGCAGTCTGTATAAAGGACATGAGAAACGGAAGCTAGCTCACTGGCCAGGGCATTCTTTCTTTCCCTGGCATTAGAGCCTACTTCTTTGGGATTCCAGCATATACTGAAAACTAACTGAGACATCCAGACTGTGGACTGAGCAGCCACTGGATTTCGGGACCTTCCCTTGGTAGACAGTCATTGTTGAACCACCTGGACCATAGCCTGTAAGTCATTCTAATAAATTCCATGTGTGTCGTTTACAAACATACAAAGTAATTTTTAAATGCCTCTTTATACTTATTGTATGTATATTCACTCTGTCAGTTCTGTTCTCTAGAGAGCCCTAATACAGATGATTTACAATGTGAAAATGAAGTATATCCCATGATAATGAAACCCTTGGCTCCCCACTTAACATTTTTCTAACATTCTGTCATGAAATAATATATTTATATCAGCAAGAGGAAAAACTGAATAAAAAGATAATCCCTTGAATTATGAATAAATACACCACTTAAGTATTACACTGGCACGGGTAACCCAGTACAGCATATTAGGATGAATTCAAGTAAACAACGCGCTGTGGTATTTAAAATAGTAGAGAACAAAACTACAGCCTGAGATTCTGGTTCAAAGTTTCTGTTTCCTCCTGGCTGTGTGACCTTCTGCTCTCCGGGTATTTCCTCGTTGGCAAATGGAGAAAGCTGTAGCTCCCTCTCCGGATACTGGGTAGGTTAGTTTGGTCAGGGATAGTGTTTCTATCCCAGGTAGCACCAGGCCCCTATAAGCTACTCAGAAAATACTGGATAATAGGAACACTAAAGTTTCCTCATGGAACCCCTAAGGATCTAGTCTATGGCTTGTGTACTTAACTACTAATCGTCATCAAAATAAAGAGAGGCGTCTCCTCACTTCCAGGAATCAGATCTGCAAGGAAACCCAGCTTTAACAGGGCACGTTTTCGTTGACTGCGCCATCTCGTGGTATACATTCTGTTCAAGGCTGGGCGCCCACAAAGCACAAAACCTCCCGCAGAGTTGAAACGTCAGTAGGCTGGAGCCAGGGGCTGCAGTCCCGAAGGTATGAGGAGCGTTACCACGCATCTTTTAGGCCGCTCGCTTCCCAACAGCTAGCGGACTGTTTCTGCATTTTCAAACTTTCCAGCATACTTGTGGCATCCACCACGCCAAATCCCCGCGGCCCTTCCGCCTGTCTCTCCCTCTAAGCCGCACATTCCCGGGCAGCACAGACCGAGCCACCATCTTCGTGTCCCAGGACGCCGGGGCAGCGCCCCGCAAACACCACGCAACCCACAAACTGAGACCAGCCACCGCCCCCGGCGCAGCGCTCACAGGCGCCCTGCTCCGCCCCACCCAGGCCCGGCCCGCCGGAAGTGACGCGTCGGGGAAGGTGTACTTCCGGCCCGCGAGGCCGCGCCCTCGTGCGGGGCCGGGCTGCTCTGGCTTGCTGTCTCAGCTGCTCTGGAGGATCCCCACGGGTAAGGAGCGAGCGGGCGCCCCTGGTTGGGGTGTGCGGACCTCCGAGCCGCCGCTGGCCGGCTCGGGCCGGGCCCGTGCGGGAGGCGCGGGCACAGGGACTGGCGGCAGTCCGGTAACCCAGCTCTGCTCTTGGGAACTGGCCCAGGGTGCCCGCGGGACGCGGCGCTGGGGCCGAATGGGGAGGAGCGCAGCCGCCCGCGTGGGAGCACCCGTGTCCAGCCGACACCCGAGCTCCCATCCCGGGGGCCAGTGCGCTGTCAAGGGGCGTGCGGTGTCACTCACCGGCCCTGAGGGCGTGCTGCAGACTGCCGCCGGTGCCAAGGCTTTCCTGCCTGACACACGGGCGGCTGCACTGACAGTGGCAACTCCATGCTTTGGTTGTGTCTGGTGTTCTCACTGAGGAGGAAAAGAAAACGTTCCTGGAATCGCTAGGTAGCATGCAAAGGAAACTATTCAGTTTTTATGTTGGGGCCAAATAATTAGTTTTAAAATAAACTACTCCTTTAAAAAAACGTGCACATCTATACTCGAAACGAAATCTATTTGTGACTATTCGAGCATACTTATTAAGGGTGTACAAACAAGACTTCCTTTTTTTTTTTTTTTTTTTTTTGGTTTCTCGAGACAGGTTTTCTCTGTGTTGTTTTGGAGGCTGTCCTGGAACGCGATCTGTAGACCAGGCTAGCCTCGAACTCACAGAGATATGCCTGCCTTTGCCTCCGGAGTTCTGGGATTAAAGGCAAGGCATGTGCCACCACCGCCCGGCTCAAACAAGACTTCCTGGTATGAAGTTTGTTTTACAGTTTGAATCATTGAAATGGGATGATTGAAAATGACTTAAAACCATTAGACTGCAAATGGCAATCTCCCTCATTAGAGATTTTCATGTGACTCCAAACACTTTATATACTGCCTTTATTTATAAATCTACCAGGAAGAACTATAAAGACAAATTTAAGGACAAGCCTTCTGTATGCTTACTAATGTGCTTTGTAATCTGTCAAAATGGCAAACTAAGCCAGCACATTGGTTGAAAGTCGCCTGGGGTTTAAAGGTAGGAAAAGAAATGTCCAGAAAGGCTGCAGGATTTGAGAAGACCATTCACAGTATTTGCATGTGATTTCTGATTTAAAAATCACTTTGGCAAGTTACTTTCAAGTTTTAAGCAAAGTCTTTCTCTTCAGCTGGAATGGAACTTCTCTTACCAACGTACCACATGCCCATGCAGATACCTAAATGTAGAGTTTTAGTGATTTAAAGTTGGAAATATGAGTATTTTTTATGAAAATGACCTGTCTGTATACCTTCAGTTTTGAATCAGTTGAATACTATGTGTTCTTATCTTGCAGATCTTTAAAGTGCCTCTGCTGAAACCATGACCAGATGGGCTAGAGTGACCACCTCGAATAATAAGAAACCCTTGTCTGCGACGTCATGGGAAGACCTGAAGAAGGGAACCGCAGAGAGCGCAGACCAGAGCCTTCCAAAGCATAGACAGCGTCAGTTCAGCAGGCTGCCCCTTAAGAATGATACCCCTCAAGCAAAGCATAAGAAGAACAAAAAAAAAAAAGAGTACTTAAATGAAGATGTGAATGGATTCATGGAATACCTAAAACAGAACTCGCAGAGGCTTCACAATGGAGAGTTGATAGCAACAGACAGCCAGGAAGTACGGGAAGAAATTGCAGTGGCCTTGAAGAAAGACAACCGACGGGAAGAAAGACGGTTAAAAAGACAAGCAGCAAAGAAAAACGCAATGGTGAGATCACTATGTCTGTATGTTAGTTACTTCTGTGTCTAACTAGAAACTCTGGTTCATCTACTCACACAGTACGTGTTTTAACAGAGCCCAGTTGCCGCTGTCCTAGTGCATGTTTTTAAGGCTTGTGCTTCTTAGCATGTGCGCGCAGGCGCGCACACACACACACACACACACACACACTCTCTCTCTCTTAATATACTGGTTAGTTTTCATAACAACACTACACAGGTGGTTATAGTCCCATATTACAGGCAGAAAACACAGAAGGATGTCCAGGTAAAGTGATTTGCTGAAAGCCACTTGGTTAGCGCTAGAGGTAGATTCAAACTGAATTCAAAACCTATGTTTGTCCTACCACTGTCTTATGGTAACCCTTTTCAAATAGCTGTTGGAAATACTCGATACCACAAGTTTAAGAAGGTTCCCATTGCTTGGAAGGAATGACTGTTCTTGTACTGTTATCCATAAAAGTTCATTCATAAGAAAGAGGTCTGAACCAGGTGTTGGTGGCGCACGCCTTTAATCCCAGAACTCAGGAGTCAGAGACAGGCGGATCTCTGTGAGTTCGGAGGCCAGCCTGGTCTACAAAGCAAGTTCCAGGACAGCCTCCAAAACAATACAGAGAAACCCTGTCTCGAAAAACCACAAAAAAAAAAAAAAAAAAAAAAAGGAAAAAGAAAAAAGGTCTGGTCCCTGTAATCCGATACATGAAAGTTAAGGAAGCTTCAAGAACTGTGTCATTGGTAGGTTCTAGAAGCCAAGCAGTAAACTTGCCGGGGTTGGTAAAAACCAGGTATGTTGACATCATAGCCAGCACTTGTTGTGGCTTCCAAGCTCATTTGTGCTCATGCACGTGTTTTGTTTGGTTGTTGTGGGGGTGACTAGAGTTGCAGGTTTAGGCCACCATGTCTAGCCAAAAGCCATTTGTGTGTGGTGCATGTGTGTGGAAGCCAGAAGATAACCAGGTGTCATTCCTTAGGCACCACCTACCTTGTTTTTGAGGCAGGGTCTTTCGCTATTTCTCACTGTCCTGGAACTTTCTAGTTAGACTCTACAGGCTAGCCAACAGGCCATTTACCTCTCCATTATTGGATTCTCAGCCTGCTTTGCAACATTTAACTTTTTTTGGTGTGGTGTCTGAGGCTTGAATTCAGGGTGTCACGAATGTGTGACAAGGACTTTAAAAACTGAGCCATCTCTCCAGTCCTAAAAGACATTTTTGAAAGTACAGTTCATTTACCTTCTACCTTATGTTTTTTGTTTGTTTATTTCTTTCATTTTCTTTTTTGAGAAAGGGTGTCATTTTGTAGCCTTGCCTGGCCTAGATCTGACTTTGTGGACCCACTGGCTGGGAACTCACGACAATCTGTCTTTCTCTGCCACCAAGTGCTGGAATGGAAAAGTGTGAACATTCTACCTGAGTGTAAATCCTGATTTAATTTGATGATGATGATTGAAAACAGATCCTTCTCTCTTACAATACATCCTGACCACAGTTTCTTCTCCCTCCACTTCTCCCGGCTTCCCTTAACTTCCCCTCTCCCCTAGATCCGCTCACCCTCCATTTCCTTTCAGAAAAGAGCAGGCCTCCAAGAGACAGCAACCAAACACAACAAATAAGCTACAGTAAGATCAGGCAAAAGCCCTCATTGAGACTGGACAAGGCAACCCAATAGGAGGAAAAAAGTCCCACGAGCTCCCACTGTTAAGAGTCCTCAAAAAACAACAAGCTAATAGCCATAATATGTGCATAGACCTATACAAGCCACATTTTTGCTGCTCAGTCTCTATGAGTCCATATGAGTGCGCTGCTTAGTTGATTCAGTGGGTCATGTTCTCCTGGTGTTCTCCATCCCCTCTGACTCCTACAATTCCCCCCCCCACTCAGGGTTCCCCAAGCTCCGAGAGAAGGGATGAGGGACCCAGTGAAAACCTCCAGTTTAGACTATTTCCGCATTATGTCTGGCTGTGGATCAAATAAATTTTTATTTTATATTTATGGGTGTATTGCCTGCTTGTATGTCTATGAACCCCTTGTGTGCCTGGTGACCTAGGAAGCCAGAAGAGGGCATCACTTCCCCTGGAACTGAAGTTGCAGACAGTTGTGATCTCCTACCTTCTTGTGGGTGCTGGAGATCGAACCTGGGTCCTCTGGAGGATCAGCAGGGCTCTTAATGTCTCTCCAGACCTAGTTCCAAGTTTTTATTATGCATGCTGGTTGTAATTTTTTGAAAAGTGACATTGGTTATCATAACACTAATTAGAATATTTTGTGTATACACTACCCATGTGGACAAAAACTTCAATATTATTTAGTATGGTGTTTAAACTTTTAAAGTATTTTCAGTGCAAGAAAATAGTTGCTATTATTTAAGTTTTTGTTTTTTTGTTTTTTTAAATAAAACACAGTTAAAATTAGTGATGGTGGTTTTATAGCTCCCGATTAAATCCCGTCTTACTTTTGCTTGTGGTTTAAATGCAACTTTGCTGCTTTGGGCCATTTTCCACCTAAATGTGAGGTAGATTGTTAGAGGCCTTAGGTTGTTGTTGTTGTGCTCTTTTGTTTGTTTGTTTTGAGCTGGGGTTTGTTGTGTAGTCCTGGCTAACCTGGATCTAGCTGTGTAGACCAGGCTGGCTTTAGACAGGATGATCTCTTGTCCACGCCTCCCGTGTACTGGAGTTGCAGACATCTGCCACCGTACCTGGCTTCTAAATGATTTGACATGGTTCAGATTTCTTCCATAGTCCGCATTTCTCAGGAGAGACCTATTTTTGGAAGTTGCATTGTCTGGGCGATGTGAATAACCAGATGCTGTTTAGTCAATGAAATCTCTCAGTGTGACTAGTGAATAAACATTTCGCTGTGTTGCTGACATGTTCTGGAAACAAAGAAAGGTGGATTCCGTCTTCCCATAGCTCATCTAATTACTCTTTTAACATCTAATATTTCCACCATTTATAGCTTGTTTTGGATGATAGTTCTGACCCACCACATACTACTGTTGGGAGGCAATGTCAACCACTGTTACATAGTCTTCAAGTTCCCTTCCCACTGATCACTTTACTAAGACAGCAAGTCAGGTGAGATACGTTGCTGCTTTTCCTCTTGTGAACCATTAGCTATATCAGGAGTACAGTCTACACACACACCCTCAGGGTCTTCTGGCCTTGGCAGATGGCTGTGACTTCACTTGATCCTTCTCTTCCATCCACACTCCTGATAGAGAAAACTTGGGCTGTTGCTTCATGGTACTCGGAAAGTTCAGGAAACCCTCACTGTATTTTGATGGGCCTTCTGTCTATGAAGAAGCAGAATCAGGCAGTACCAAGTACGCTGGATTACCATGGCCTCAGTTTTTGAGGCAGTTGGCCTGCATAGATAGGCCTGTTTGTGTTGGGTGAGCCAGAGCCCGCATTTTCAGGAGACTTTGTGTAACAGGTTTTGGCTGGTGATCATGACATGACCCTTTCTTTCTGATAGAGTTTTTCTTTCAAGTGGTTTGTCCAACTGTTACATTTATGTGAGCAGGCAACTGTTCTGGGGATTTTCTGGCCTCCCCATGAGTACTGGTGACATTAGACCTGCCCTGGGTAGGCAGAGCAGTGGAATGGTCCTCAATGCTATCCTTAGCATTGTGGGTCTCAGATGCTAATCTCTGAAGTACCCACACCCTAACCATACTTTGGTGCCTCCATACTGGCTCCTGGCCAGTTCCACTCAGCTATTAGAACACAGCCACCTGCTTGACCTACCCAGAGAGCTCATATCCTGTGACCTGCATCATAGTGGAGACACTGAACCCAGCTTCAGTCAGCTATGTGAAATTTAAAAACACAAGTGTTAATTTGAGTGGTCCTTTTTTACAGCCATTGTTTGACTTCTACAGAGGCCCCTCCCCCAAACAGAACCTCTGTTTTCTCATGCAGGCATCTTTAGTAAAAGATGTATAATCCACATTTGTTCGATTCATACGAGCAGCTGCCTCCTACAAAGCCATTTATGACTCTGTGTCTGAGACTAATGGATCAATGGGATTAGTTATCAGAGGCACTTATAGTGCTGGGACAGAAAATGACATCTGACCTTTGGGATATGGAAAGTACTTCCTTCTATAAAAACAATAGTAATGTTTTTTTTTCTTTTTAAACTTTAAAATGCAAAATAAAGATAGTTTTGATGAAAGAATTAGTAAAGGCAAGAGAGTAGTTTTACCACATGGAAACTGATGTTTTGTTTTCTCAGGTATGTTTCCATTGTAGAAGACCTGGGCATGGAGTCGCCGATTGCCCGGCTGCACTGGAAAATCAGGACATGGGCACTGGCATTTGTTACCGCTGTGGGTCCACAGAGCACGAGATTACGAAGTGCAGAGCTAGCATAGACCCCGCTCTCGGTATGTTCTCTTTTGGGTTTATGTATGGTGCCGTGGGAAGGTGACTGTTAAAATAGCCAACTTGGTAAAAAGACATATTTTCTGTTTACAGTATTTTAAAGTAATGTGAATCATGCAACTTGTCATATACACAATACATTAATGGGAACATTGATTCTTACAGGTGAATTTCCTTTTGCAAAATGTTTTGTCTGTGGAGAAATGGGGCACCTGTCCAGGTCCTGCCCTGAAAATCCCAAAGGAGTCTATGCTGATGGTGAGTGCCCTTGCCCTTGTGTGTAGACAAGTGCTCATTGCTCAGAACTAAGATCTGGCTTTTTAAAATCTGTCTTTAAATAACTTTTTGAATAGGTGAAACCCTGAGTGCCTTTGCCAAGTACTGTTCTGTGCTGGGCTGTTTGTGTACTATAGTTTAATTTATTAACAAATCGGGAAGGGGGGGCTACGGAATATTTCTCATACTACTTGCTTCTGCATTATTGTGAGAATATATTAAATATCTGTTGTTTAAGCACAACAGAAGTGGAGAGATTATATCTCAAATTAGTAAAATATCTGAAAAGCTGTGCACTATGTTAATGTAACTTTATTATCTTTGTCTCAGTGTCTGTGCAGCCTGGAAAAAACACTGTTGTGTCTGAAGACCTGCAGAAGGAAATTGTTGTCTGTTAATAAAATGGCTGGTGCAAGTGGACTCTTGGCATATCTGTGTTACGTCCTGAGTCTCCCCCTCAAGGTCCAGTAGGAATGTGTAGCTCAGGGAGTCAGTCTTACCTACCGCCACTTGCCAGTCTCAGGTCTTCGGCCAAGTTACCTAACGGTCCTTGTGTCAGTTTGTCACCTGTACAATGGAAATAAGGAAATTAGATTTCATTGATTCTGAGATGCATTTTTTCCATTTTTTAATGCAAAATCCAACTATATCATACCACCAGTGGCTCCTACATGATTGGCATCTTTTTTGACTTTCTGAGAGATGTGTAAAGTAATAGCACACCTTACAAGCAGTGATGCGTTGTAGGGTGTTCACAGTGACACTCTGAGACTGCTAATAAAGTTAACCTTGAATCAGGGGACGGAGTCAGTGACTAGTTGCCTAGATTTAACCATAGAGGTATGGAGGATCCAGGGAGCTGGATAGAGATGCACAGGACATAGTAGGCAGGGACTTGGAGATTTTGCCGGGCCTTTTTGATCTGGGAAGCGTGGAAAGGCAGGATCAGCTGATCATTCCTCAATTGCTCTTTGGGCCTATTAGGTTTTTATCCAAATACCTGACTCCCAAGGTTAATATTAGAACAATATAGGTAAATGCATTAGTGCTGTCTTAGATTTGCTCAATTGTGGCCTTTCTCTGTTTTAAAGTAAGTGAACTAGTCAGAGGCCTCTTCTATTTTCACCATGGCATAAAGAATGGTCTCGGGCCTGGGAAGTTGACTTGTGAACAAAAATGACTTTGCATGGTGAGCCAGACGTGATAGTTTTTGTTGCTGTTTTAAAGCAAGGGAAGTGCATCCCATGCATGAGAGGCAGGTTTGCATCCTGTAGGGTCCTTTTCTGATTTGACACCTCACACAAGCATGATTATTATGTGAAAGCCCCACTGTGGGAACTGCATGTTGTAACTCACCATCCCAGAGTATTGCTTAAGTTAGACAGACGGGGGTGTTTTTTCAGGGTGACAGGAGAGTAATGACTTCCCCATGTGACCTGTGTAGCAGAGCAGTGTTGCTTACTAACCTTTTTGGGAGCCGCGCTTGCTGAGAAACTGATAAACTGTGGGCATCCTCCTGAGGCAGGGTGTGGCCCTGTACAAGCTTTGTTTCCAGGTGAAGACTCCACACCTTGAGCAAGCTCTAGACTTCTGTGCCAGGGCTCTTGGACAGGTGACTTCTGTCATGAGTCTCTTCTCCACTTCTCTCGAAGGTCAGGTACAAGAGCAGCTCCTGAAGCCCAGCAATGGCAAAGGCGTTGCTAACAGGCGTGATGCCCACCCAGCTTCCTGGCGGAGCCACCTTTACCGTCGTCAGCAATGAGAAGACGGGAAAGTGCTCATCCTTGTCACAAACCCTGTGTCAGGCTGACAGTTCTCAGTGACTCTGTCTTTTACTAGGTGGCAGCTGTGCACTCTGTGGCTCTGTGGGACATTTTAAGAAAGATTGTCCTGAAAATCAGAATTCAGGTGAGCTCCCGGGCCTCGTCTATAAGGGTATTCCTCTCTGTGCTCACTTATTCCGTTAGTAATAACTCAGAGAGGCACTGTTGACTGCAGACAGCTGCTCTGCCCTGTGACAATGACCTCACCAGTCCTGAGTCCCTGGACTTCAGGTCTGTTCTCTGGGAGAGAGCTGGTAAGCTGCAGGACTCTTATTTTGAAAAGCATCTTACGAGCTTGTGTGTTTGCTCAGAAATGGAGTTAATTATACTAGAACTTACTTTGTTACTTAGCAAAAAAGTATTGATTCCTAAGCTAGAACTCAAGTACAAAATTAATTTTCAACATTCATAAGCCTGAGCGTCCTTATGTGCTTTGTGTTCTAAATGATTGTGAAGCTGTTAGCTTACTAAAACTGTTATCAGCGCAGCATCTGCCTAGTGAAATATTAGCCTTGGTCATTAAAAACTTGTAAATGTTCACTGTTACATGCAGCCGACTTCTAAGGAAGCAGAATTCATTACTCCTTAGTTTGCCAGGATTAGACTAGAGATGACCATGTGTTAAAGAAAGCAAAACAGGCCTGGGCAGATGTTTCAGTGGCATGTGGACCTGAGTTCGGCCTCCAGGGCTGACTAGGAAGCTGGCCATGGTGTTTGCACGCTGTCTCAGCCCTGGGAAGGCATGGAGAGGTGGATATAGTCATAATTCATCACTGTCTCCCCATTCTTACTTTCTTCCCCTAATGTTTAAATGCAAAAACCAGGAGTTGTTGTTTATAATCTTGTCTAGAAGGAGATCATCTTTATATGGTGTAGGCAGTGAGATTGAAATGATGAAGTGGAATTTGAATTCTCCCTCCTGGGAGGATTGCCACTTCCCAAATGACAAAACTGACAAGCAGATGTTGTATAATTTCACAGGTGGAATCTTGTGCATTTAAAACTAATGCCTCCTAAGTCTTACTGTTTACGGGCTCTTGGAATTCATTGCCTCTTCAGTGATGAACTCTGGGCAAGAATGAAGGAGCTTTCTCATCAGTTTGTGCATTGCAAAGTAGCTGCTGCATTTCCCTAATTGGGATGAGAAATTGCCTGTGGTACTCAGAAATCAAGGGTTCTAATCAATTACAGAATTGCTCACTTTTCCTGCCAGGATGGGGGCTTCTCTCCTTGTGATTACTCATGTCAAAACTAGTTCCTTTGCTCAACCGATACCACTCTAAGTGAAGTATTTGATTACTGTTGTTTTTTTTTTTTTTTTTTTTTTTTTTGGTTTTTCGAGACAGGGTTTCTCTATGGCTTTGGAGGCTATCCTGGAACTAGCTCTTGTAGACCAGGCTGGCCTCGAACTCACAGAGATCCGCCTGCCTCTGCCTCCCAAGTGCTGGGATTAAAGGCGTGCGCCACCAACGCCCGTTATGTGATTTTTTTTTTGTTTTTTTTTAATTCCTCTACAGATCGGATGGTCACAGTTGGTCGCTGGACACAGGGAATGAGTGCAGACTATGAAGAAGTTCTGGATCTGCCCAAAGCACAGAAACCGAAAACTAAAGTACCCAAAGTTGTTCATTTTTAATAGGAGTTGACATGTTGTTAATTACCACCTCACTATTACTTTCCATAGAAGGCCTTTACAGGTTAGAGCCGGGTGCCTGTGGAAGCAAGCCTGTGTTATCAACACCACTCTAACCTTTGTGGAATTACATTGCCTGTATTCTGTCTATCAAGGAACACAGGGTGATTAATTGTACTCTTTAGACGCGCATGCCTGCTTATGTGCTCATGCGTATTTGAAACAGATTCTATGTTTCTATGTAGCCCAGCTTGGCTTCAAACTAGTAATCCTGCCTCAGAACCCTGAGAGCTGAGATTACAGGTATGTGCCAAAGAACATAATTTAACACACAGAACTTAGACCTAACTGTACATTTGACTGGGTCATCTCTGTAAATGTAAATTATGTATCAAAATTGATCACCTGTAAACAAAACACACAGCTTCAAGTTTGTGACTAAGTACAATTTTGTTATCCTTAATTCAGAGTAACTTATTGTAATAGAAATTTATATGTTGTCACAAAATGTGTAATTTTTAGTATGGAATAAACTCTATCAGCTGTTTACGTTGAATTGGCCATTGTTTGCTACTCTCACTCTAGAGTCCCTTTGAAAACAAGACTGTAAGTCTTGGTAGAGATAAATGCATTTGTTTAGTTTGGTTTAGTTTTAATACAAAGAATTAGAAATTACTAATATTAAAATTAAAGAGTACTCCAGCTTCACAGCTCTGTTTTGCCTTCAATTTTTCAAGAGAAATTCTAGCCCCCCCCAAAAAAGAAAAAAATCAGTGTGCAGTAAGTACTCAGACAGAGTGACGGCCTGACAGCTTATGTATTAGACCTCCCAGTGTTGTGTCCGCATGCTGTAGATGAGTCAGGGTGTGATGGAAGCAGCACCATAATAGAGTTAGAACACTAATCAGAGACCCATTAGCGTCTTTGTCTGATTTGATGAATACATGCATATTTAATACATATATTCCACACGCCCTGCCACGGCCATTGTGCAGCATAATGGAATGACTGGTGGTTTGTGAGTTTCATTTGAAATTTTACCTGATTGAATCCGTTTGTAACTGAAGGAAGCAGCTGTGATTAGTTACTGATGCCTCAAAGGCTAAATATTTACCAAATAAGAAAAGAAGCTCTTTGTCTGTTTTCATGTGTGCACAGCCTAACAGTTCGAGGCTTAATAGGAGCTGTTCTTTTCTTTCCGGTGAGGGGGGGATGTGATGACAGAGCCGTGCTCAGCATCCCAGAGCTCAAGGAAGAGCGCACTCTAACTGAAGCTCCGCTGCTGGAGAGGATGGCGGATGCTGCTGGATGCAGACCTCCCCGTCCCCACAGGAGCAGAGGAAGTCCCCACTGCTGCAGGCTGGTGGTCCGTGGGCCTTCCCTAGACCACTGCTATGTTAATAGTTTAATCTGTCAGGGAGTGAAAGCAGCACAGAGAAATGACAGGTGCTGAAAGCAACATTTACAAGTGCACAGGGGCCGTGAGTGATGTCCTTCAGGCGATGGACAGGAGACCAGAGTGCGTATGTATTGAACTGGGAACGCCAGAGAAGACTGACATTGACTCTGTCTACCCAAGCGAGCTCTGCTTGTACGCGGGCACTGGGCTTATGGCTATGAATAAGCAAGGCCACATGCATTTCAGTTAGTGGGACGAAGAGTGGAGTTGAATTGGGGAAAACTGCCACACCTGACTTTTACAGGGTAGTGGGGATCTAAACTCAGGCCCTTATGCTTATACAATGCTATATGTATATAATATATGTGTGCATATGTTCTGGCAATATATTTGTATATTTTATATATTGTACACACACATTTGCCGTTTAGAGACAAGTTTCTCTATGTAATAGCTCTGGCTGTTGGCCTCGAACTCACAGAGGTCTGCCTGCCTCTGCTTTTTGAATGCTGGGTTAAAGGTGCACCACCAATGCCCAGCTATGTGTGTATATATTATGACTTCTAGTTTGGTGTTTTTGTGGGATATGAGTGTGTGAACAAGTGGGTCTCTGCATCTGTATTGGTTTCATGTGTCTTTTCTTGGGTTCTTTTCCTTCTGTTTGTTGTGTCCTATTCCAGTGTGTTGGTTTTTGTTTTATCATATGTCACTTATCATCCCTTCGAAGCCTGTTTATTTTCTAATGAGAGGCAGAAGGCAGGTAGATCTGAACGGGAGGAAAAGGGGAGAAACTGGGAGAGGTAGAAGGGGGAGAAACTAATCAGACTATATTATGTGAGGAAAAAAAATCTATTTTCAATAAAAGGTAAAAAAAGGAGAACATTTTAAAGTACTAGAAATGAAACATGTCACCTACAAAAGAAGAAAAATTTACTGCCTCATAGTAGCAATGAGAGCCAGGAGACAATATATGACATCTGTGTTGTGGGAAGAAAAATGTTTTTCAACTTAGAACTCTATGCCCATTGGAATTGTATGTAAAGAACAAGAACAAATAAAATAGAACACATCACCAAAAGCTCCTCATTAAGAAACCTCAGTGTCTCCCGAGTAGAAGTGAGATTGTACAAATCAATGCAAAAGGGGCTAAGAGCCCATCCTGGGCTGGCGTGAGAATCACAAGGCGGAAGGGGAGAACCAACTTCTGAAAGCTGCCTTCTACTTCATGTGCACACCGCAACACACATGCACACACACACACTGCAAGGATACATGGAATCAAATTAATAAGAGAAACCACATCAGTGTGAGAGTGCATAAATTGGAATAGATAAATTGGAATGAACACTGCTACCAGCAACGCGAAGGAGTAACACAGGCCTGTGCTTTGCCCAGAGTGGTGGATCGGCTGCTCTTCTCGGTGCTGATCCTGACTGGAAACTGCCTCTGGGAGACAGTTCATTTGAGAGGAGGTAGTCCATCCTGGCAGGCGAGAGAAAGAAAAGAGACAGGAAGGTGGGTAGTGCCCAGATGAGAGAAGATGCTGGTTTGAGTTGGTGTGCTGATGCTATTTTTAACATAGAATCAATCGGGTTTGCTGGGGACAAAGGGAGAGATTTAGTGTGGACAGGCAGCAGAATTGGGTGTTGTGGAATATTACTCTAACTATGCAAAGATGTGTTACATTTGCTTATGCAGCATTATTTAATTATGCAAAGATGTGTTGCCATTTCACCTTGCCTGCCTAAGATGGGCCTAATAAAAAGCTGAATGGCCAGTGGCTAGGCAGAGGAAGGACAGGTGGGGCTGGCCTATAGAGAATAAATAGGAGGAATGCAGGCTCGGGAGAAGAGAGGAGAGAACAAGGAGACACCGAGGAGGACATACGGAAGGAAAGAAAGGTGAAAAGCCCCTAGGCAAACTGTGGATGAAGAGGAACAGGTTAAGTCAGAGAACTAACAAGAAACAAACATAAGATAAGGCCAAGCATCCATATATAATAAGTCTCTGGCCAAGCATCCATACCTAATAATAAGTCTCTGTGTTACTATTGGAAACCGGCTGGTGGCCCGAAAGGAAGCCTGCCACAGAGTGTTTTAGAGATGCTGACTTCAAAATGGCAGGTCTCAGTGAAAATGTAAGTGTGTAGTTAGCCGCTAGGGTCACTAAAGGCTCAGACGAGATGCACAGGGGGGAGTTACTGATGCACAGATGACATCAAAACCCAGACAGGTGGATTGACGGAGGAGGCGAGACCGAGGACAGAGCTTGACAGTCCCTGACATTACAGGGTCTGATGGAGGGGGAGGTTTAAGAGAGGCCTTCGAGACTGTGGCTAGTGAGCAGGAGAGAAGGAAGTGGGGGACTTGAAGAAGGTAAGAGAAATTGAAATTGCTCCTGGTGGAGAGAGTCCAGGCCTCGTGCTCAGCTGGGAGCAGAGGTGGAGGTGCAGGGGGAGGATGAGAGGGACTCACACCTTCTGGGTGGGCTGTCTCTGAGGCACATGCTCTACGTGGTGCGGCGGGGGCAGAGATGTTTGAGTGGTGTGTACATCATTAGGAAACACGCTGAGAGTGGAGAGAGAGACACAGAGAGAGGGGGAGGAAGGGAGGGAGGGAGAGAGAGAGAGAGAGAGAGAGAGAGAGAGAGAGAGAGAGAGAGAGAGAGAGAGAGAGAGAGAGAGAGAGAGAGAGAGAGAGAGAGACGGGGGGTGTTATCAGAGCACTGAATGTCTTTTGGTGTCAGTGATGAGAACTCTCAAGTGAGACCAAACCACAGTCCCCAGCTGCTAACACTGGAGGTGAATAATCGGGCTAGTCCTACCATGGTTGGGTTTTGTTGAAGAAGTTGAGTGAAAAGAGAGATGTCGCTAATTTCCAGGGGGTGAATACAAGGATCTTTCAGAGGATCTAACCAGGCAAGGAAAGGAGAGAGAACACGGAGGGCGGGGGGTGTATGTATTCTTAAACAATGTCAGTGTTTGTCCTAATGCCTCTTAAATGTTTCTGAAAGGTCACCAAACAGGAACTGAAGGACAGGCTCAGTGGAAATGTGTGGATTTTTATGTGGTGCTTCATCTTCAGAGGTATAAAACGAGGAAGGACATTTTAAGCTAGGATTTCTCAGATTTGTGAGAAGGGAGCTGAGTTGGTGCCAGGAACTGGAAAGAGCCTGAGATTCTGAATAAACTAAAAAAGAAATCAGGCTGTAGTAGATACTTGGCTGTTGGCAAAAGGCACGAGACTCTTTGTTCAGGCACCACAAGGCACATCTTGCTTGAGACACAGCAAGCGACAGGAGCAGGAGTGCTTTGTGTCACTTTCTGTGGCTCCTCAAGCCTAACAGGAACGACAAGGTATGCTGAAGTGTACGCCTCAGACTTCTGACATGGTGGGGAGTGGGGGGTGATGTGGGGGACGGGGTGTGCATGGGGGGTGCTGAGAGACTGACTCAGAGCTATAACAGACCTAGAACCTGGAGACAGCTGAGAGACTCTGGACCTGGAACTTTCCTGAACAAATAGCAAGCACTGACCAGTGGCAAAAGAGCCAGCCCCTCCCGCTGACCTCTGCCCATGAGTTCGCAGTCCACCTGAAGCCATACGGTGGTCATCTTGACTTGTGACTCAGAACCATGGGACAGATACCTCCGAGTCTGACGCACTCGGGGAGAACCAGAGAGCCTGCATCAGTGAGGCCCTGAGAGACATGCCTGCCCCAAGGGCTCCAGCTGTTTTCAAATGGAAGAAATAATCTATGAATAAATTCATATTTCTTCCTCGAACAATGTATCCCAAGCTGTAAAACATACTCCTTTAAACGTATCTCTTTAATACATATTTTCAAAACTATCCCTTAAGCTACATCGGTAAATTTTGTTAGGCTATTTCTAAAAAAAAAAGGAAAAAAAATCACCCTTCCTGCCTATATTCTCTCCTTTTTCTGCCTGGCTTACATTCCCTGGGAGATCCTGGTATTCGCCCCCTGGAAATCACCAATACCTCTAGTTTTACTCAACTCCGACAAATCCCGACCATGGTAGGGTAGCCTGATACTTCACCTACGCTGTGAGCATCTCAGAAGTAGAATGGAATAATGTGATGCTGTGTTAAAAACATATTCTGGTTTATTTTAGTCTTATTAAAATATCATTTCCTCAGGTGTTTGAGTACCAGGGTGCCCACATGTTGATCAACTTTCCTATTTCTTCCTCTTGATTGTTTTCTGTGACAAAGGTGAAAGAGAAGGTGACCCAGACAGCAATTCAGCTGCGTTAAAACCAGGCAGACTAAATAGAAATGAGGTTTCTTTTTTAATCAAAAACCTTGCTGGGCGTTGGTGGCGCACGCCTTTAATCTCAGCACTCGGGAGGCAGAGGCAGGCGGATCTCTGTGAGTTCGAGGCCAGGCTGGACCGACAGCCTCCAAAACAGAGAAACCCTGTCTGGTAAAAAACAAAAAAAAACAAAAAAAACCAAAAAAACAAAAACAAAAAAAAACCTTTCATTCTTGTTGGGAGGACTGGAAATACCATAAAAACAGCCACGAAATTGGTGACGTTCTGTAAAAATACCACAACACTCAAAAGGGAAAAACCTACCATAACCCCTCTCTTTTTAATCATGCCAGTTATGGGCTTTAATAAGAGGAATCAAGACAGGACAGTGACATTGGAGCATGAATTTGATACGTAATAATGAATGATTAGATACTTGTCCAATTGTTAGTATTTCTGTTTAATAATGACTATATAGTGATTTTTCTACAGTATTTCTCTAATTACGTAAAAGCAGCATGTTTCTAATGAAATCTGCATTTAAGTGACTTCCTTTTTAATCTTTAAAACTTTATTTTTAATGTATTCTTTGATAACTTCATATGTTACACAACAAAATGTGATAATATCCAACCCCCCATCTTCCCACCCAGTTCCTCACGAGCCGTCCCAACATCACTCCTAGCTGCATGTCCTTGTTTTTCTTTTAAGTTTAAATAACCCACTAAGTGCAATTAGTGCTGCCCATATGTGTGTAGGTATAGGGACATGGAGCATGGGCAACTTGCTAGTGGCCACCCTCCCCAATTAAAAAAAAACAAGAATGATCCTCCCTCCCAGGATAGGTATCATGTGCCAGTGTTGCTTTAGTTAGGGGTAGGACCTTGTGAGGTCCTCCTCCATCTGAAGTATAACTTTCCTGTCTCATTCCCTAGCAACCTGGCGTCTGCTGAACCAGTCAATGTCTTACCTCCACATCTGCTTAAGCCTGGGCACTAGACGGGAGAGAAGCGTAGTCTTAGATTCAGCTGTTTCTAACTATCTGTCACTCTGTTGTAGTCTCACTTGGTTCTCTGCTTTTTCTAGAATGAGCCAGAAGCATTGTCTTTGAGAGCTGGCCAGGACTGAGCCTTTGGTGGGGTCTACCCTGCAGCTACAGGTCTTTCTGTCACTCTCCCCATGTCTTGGTTTATGCTCAAGTGTCTCTAGTACCCTAAAATCAATCCTCCCATCTCATCTCCTGTGCCCTGCTGTGTTTTCTTAGATAGGGGGCCTTCCAACATTGCATACCATTTACTCATTTTATTTATTGGATAATAAACACATTACAATTCCTTGCAGAAACCACAGAGCATAGAAAAGATCTCAATTGTATGAATAGAAGAAGGGACAGACATCTTCCTATAGTAAAGAGGAAATGAATGACCCACAAAGATAGCCCATTGGGTAAAGGGTCTTACCCCCAAACCTGGTGACTTTGGTTCAAGCCCTGGGACTCACATGCTGGAAGGAGAGAACTGACTCCCCAAGTTGCTCTCCAACCTCCACCCAGGTGCAGTGGTATGTGCCCACCCCCGCAAAGCAGATGAATACACACAAAACAAATAAAATGTCATAAAAATGTTTTTAGGACAGTACAAGAACAAGGGCTGTTGTGCTTCACAACTCAAATGCATGGTGGCATTGCTTTGGACAATAGGTTTAGTTTTGAAATAGCTCAAGAGGGCCCCAGCATGCTGGTCCTTTGAAAGTCTCTATAAAGACAAGGGTTCCTAAAAACGAACTCTTCAATTTAGGATGTGCTGAATGAACCTGAACCAGCCAGGCCAATGGGCTCCACATCTCTGAAGCACAGAACAAACTCAGGAAGATTGGGAGGCATTGTTTGCCAGGAGACTCGGTGAAATTGTGGCTGAAGATTAAAATTCATTTAATTGTAAGGATTTCCTGAGGCTAATGATGATTACCTCAGGGAATGCGGTTGAGTATAGACAACACCCATGTTACCCAGAAAGCTCAGTGTGTCTGTCACTCTATCAACCATTGTCTGGAAGTTTTCAATGGAAAATTCTAGAATTAAGCTGTATTATGCAGCATTCTGTGTCGTGTGTTGATGTTAGTCCTGCCAGGAGAATGAACCATCTTCTTCACATCGAGCAAATCCACAATGTTTTCCTTGCCTGTCAGTTAGACACCCAGTATCCCTGTCACAATACTGCAATGCTTGTGTTCACGACAGAACGTGTCACAGTGTCTACAAAATTCATGTATGTCTATCCTATCTGTACCTGTAGATGCTGTGCCATCTCACCTCAGGAAGAGCGGAGAAAGGCTAGCTCAGGATGGCAAGCTGAGAGGGATCTCATATTCAATTTTTACTATAGCGTATTGTTATCATGGTCCTATTTTATTAAAGGCTATTGCAAATATCTAACTTATCAACCAAACTTCATCATGTGTGGTATGGGAATAAATCTAAACAGGCCGACAGTGCTCTGCGTAGTTACTGTCACTCCTGGGTAAGGTGGACCCTGCAAACTGGAGTGGACGTCTCTGTGTCTCAATGTGAGTCAGCTAAAAACAAAAATTCTCTTTCTTTTCAGGAAAACATTTCAAAAAATAAATTCAAAGGCCAAGCCTATGCATACAGCATTTAAAAATATCTTCATTTCGGAAGTCTGAAATTTTAACATACTAAATTGTGGTGTTAATATAAGCCCTGCATTACAAATGCTGCTACCCTTTAGAATGTAAAATAGTTCAAGAAGTAGTTCTAGAATGTTCTATTCTACATATCTACCCTTTTGACCTGTAAATAGTAATTTATATAAATACTATAAGTTCACATATAGGAAAACTTGAAAAAGATAAGTAAATACAATTGTAACCAGCCCTAGACCATTGAGTGGGCAAGTGGGAGGAGTCAGGAGAGCTCACAGCAGGATGGCCTTAGCCTGTCTCTTGCTCTCAACTCTAGTGGAGATTTTCAGTTTGGGAAAGGAATCCTTTGACGGGACTAACCTGACACATTCTGTTTTGTCTTATGTGTGAAGACCCGTTATAGTGTAGAATGATAAATGCTGACATCTGGGGATCAAGTGCTAATGGGGTAGCTATAAAGGAGAGCTCAGTTAATGTTCTCTTTGTAATATCACACTTTACAAGTGCTTGGTGTGCATATGTGTATAGAAATAGATACTAAATTGGCCATCTACCTGGAATATATGTAAAATGACAAGAGTAAAGTAGTTCCTATTACCAAAATTGATTGGATTCCATTATGTTTTAATGCTTCCTAATTTAAAGTTCTAAAACATGGAATACATCTTCTCAGAGACCCCTGACAGACATGTCTGCTGCCCATGGAACAATATTAAACACTCATCCACTAAGCCTGCCATCGTTTCACATTTTATAAACTCACCATTGCAGAATACACATTGAACTTCTGTGAGAGTTTTAACTAACTTTGTGACATTTTATAGATCATGCAATATTGTATCAGGTAATTTCTCAGTGTCTGTATAATAGGGCTTTAGAGGTCTTGTAGTTTGAATCCAAATCATCAGAACACATGTTGGTTTTTAATATCTTCATAACCGCATTTTACTTAGGCTGCCATGAAATCATTGCATGATCCCAAAGCTTGCCAAATTAAAGGGCTAAGGACACTTGGAATTAAACCTGGGAAATTAAATTACAGTAATTGAGAGTTGACCATTTATAACACACTTTTAAGTCCATCATGGGCAGCATTCTCTATGAATTTTATACAAGCGGCTGCAGCTTCCTCAATGGATTTTGACCAGCCACCAATATTGCCAGCAAAGTAAGGAAGGATGCTGTCTGACATCTGATTCAGGTACGCTACCTGTGTCAAAGAGAACATACAGCATGTTGAGTTTTATTGACTGGGAGAGAGACTGAAACTGCTGGGGAATGACTCTGGAAGGAGGAACCAAGGGGTCTTTTTAGAGAAGACACACATTTAAGACTAGGATTAATTAGGAGATCTGGGGGAATGAAGAGGTTTTCCCATATCTGTGAGAATGAGTTAAGGCACAAATGTTTCATCAAACATACGGTGCATGAACTGCTGTTGATAGCCTGGATGAGAAACCCAGCACATATGACCTCGCTTCTGATGTACTGTGGAGATGGTGGGACTGAGGGAAGGAAAACGGACTTCACGGCCACCGTGTAAGTGTTACTGAAAGACAAGAGCACACGCGAAAATAGTTGTCAGGCCGTAAATTTCCACAGGAGTTTATACTGGCATTTATTACATTGGTTTTGTGGTTCTACGGATTAAATTCGGGGCTTACTGCACCCAAGGCAAGTTCTCCAACACTAGCTTCATCCCCAGCCCATGGGTGACTTCATTGTCCCAGCAGGAGGAAGCCCTGAAAACTAGACTCCTCTGGATGAGTGGTTCACGTTAAAAAACGAAACAAACGATAAACCTTCTCTATAATGACCTTCAAACACGGAACAAGGTAACTCCACAAGGCATAAGCCTGGAATCACTGAAGTGTTGGTGTATCCTAAAGGGTTATGATCTCAGTTATGATCACCATTTTTTCAATTAAAAAGAAAACCAATATTCAGACAATAAAGAATGCAATTGGCTAGAAAATAAAAGTGGTCTTTCAGTCTGCTCTAGCTGTAATCCTATTCCTGCCATATAAGTGACTATTCTCACCTTCCATACGTGGCTCTCTAGATTTTATTACTGTATACAAGCACTGTTAGCAAACACACACATAGGTTGTAATACAAATACAGTCACTTTGCAAATACAGCCCACAAGTTGACTTTCCACCTAACAATAAATATTTAGAGATGTTTTCATATTTGTGCCCCCAATAACTACTTTCTCCTCCTTGGAGGTGGCTCACTGCTCTGCATTATGGATTTATCATAATTTATAAGATAGACATCAATTTATTTATCATATTCTTTGACATAATAGAAGATGCTACAATGAGCACTTATGTACATGTGTAGGTGGGATTATTTAGGACACTTCTCTTTTCATTCTATGCTCTGTGTGGTTCAGGGTACATGGGAAGGCCATGTTCAAACTCTGGCCCATGGCCCTAGTACGTAGTAAACTAGTTTGGATGGCTAATACAGCATGGCCTTTGAGAATTCTAAGCCCGTTTTCGGTGTTGTCACTCCTCTTGTTGACTTTACTGATAGCAAGAGGTTTTGAAGGCTTTTCAGATATTCATTTTAGTCTACATAGAGCAGAAGGGGGTGCCTTAGAACGCCTGTGGGTCCTCTGTACAGAGCTAACAATGAATGAATGCATTTTTAAATGGTACTAAAGATGCATATATTTAAAAAAAACCCGGGTGAACACGACTAGAAACATCCATGATGACTTTGTTATTTCCATAGCCTTTCTTTTCTAACAGACGGGGCTGGGACACCAGAGGAGCTGTATGTACTCACTCATCTTTGAGAGGCTTTCTTCGTGACACAAGCACTACGAAGTCTTTGGGTTTGTCTCCATTTGCCACAGAACAGGTGATGTAATATATCAGATCATCCTCACTCACCTGGTTCACGACCTCACAGGTTCTGTGTGAACAGAGCAGTGTTCAAAGACATGCTTCCTACCTGCTAGAATGAGGCATTTGCTTCCATTATTTATTGGCATGATCTCCTCCTTGACATCTATATTCACTGGTTCTGCTGACCCACCCCACAACACTCTGGAAGGCTGACATTGGAATGAGCTATTTGCTCAGAAGGAGTAATTTTGCATGTGAGGGAAGGTGTCAGCTGTGTGGCTCCAAGGTCACTTCCCTCAAAACTCCAGAGGCACGCAATAAGCCTTCCACAAAATTATCTTTTTCTAGGATCAAATAAAACATTTGAAGATGAGTGAGATATAAGGTTGGTCCCAGCACTCAGGTAGAGATGTAATATGCTGGAAAGAATGCTTACTTTGAAGCTAAGACACTTGCTTTTGACTCTTAGATTGCTGCTTACTGGCCATACTATGTTAGGCAAGTTGTTTTATTATTTTATCTGTATACTGTAGTTATTAGTGTCTAGGGGGTTATTGTGAGAACTAAATGCAAGCACTTGAAGCAGACCCTGAGTCTTAAGTAGTTACACAAGAGAAGTCGGTTGAATTTAAATGAATTCACTGGCTTCTCCATCCATTCATGTTCAGTCTCAATGGAATGCCAAGCCAAACAGAATTGTGACAGAAACATTTAAAATAACTTGTTAAAAGACAAGGTGTCTGAGATGCTGCAGTATTCTGTAGCTTTGGAGGCTAGGCCTAAGTGGAATCTGTCACTGCAGGGCAGCTGACAAGGCTCACAGTTCCATAGTCATCCCTAGACCCGTGGCAACACCAAAGCCTTTGATGTTCAAGTCCCTTATATGCAACATCAGTATTTTCATTGTAATATATGCAAATAATTCAGTATGCTCTATATCTAGATCACTTATGCAATGTAAATGGTATGTTGATAGTTGCTATACTATTTAAAGAAAGAAGTAAAGGAAATCTATACAGGTTCGATGCTGACACACACATTCCCCCCCACACACACACTTGCACACACACAACATTCTTTTTTATCCAAAGTGTCAAATATGCAGATTGGGACCTGTGGATAGGTATAACCAACCATATTCCAGCGAAGTTGGAATGCAAGAGACAGCTCCAGGAATGAAGAAACAGAAACTGGTGGGAGAGAAGGGGGGGGGGGAGATGGGAGCAGAGCATGATCAGGTCATCAAGACAGAACCAGGAGAGAGCAGATGGGAGCAGAGCATGATCAGGTCATCAAGACAGAACCAGGAGAGAGCAGCACGCCGTGCCTTCCTCCAGGACTCACTGCTAGCTTCTCCCTGAGACTTGTGGCTTCACAGGGGAAGAGTTCTGGGAAGACATTGCACACCTCCCCCAAGAACCTTGAGGCTGTGTGGTAAAGAAGAAGGTGTGCCATAGAGCCTGACCAAACTGGATTCCAATGCAGGTCCCGACACGGTTGTCAGTGCAGCCTTGCCAGCTCTCAGAAATGGGAACAGTACCATCTTTGAAGCTGTGAGTGGTATCAAAATAGATGTGGGCCATGTGTGCCAACTCAGTATAAACGACAAACAGATGAGTGTGATAATTGTTGCTTTGCTCTTCTCAGTGACACCTGATGTGGTAGTTTGGGTAAAGCAACCTCTGAAAGTCCTCTAAATTCCTCAAATGATAAATATATCATGCGCTGGGCAGCGGAGATGAAATAATAACTGAAGCTATCTTTCCCACAATGTCAGACTTGATTAAGAAAACAAATTTAGGTTTGTTCTTACATGTAATGGGGGTCCCACAAAGGTCGGTTTGTGAAGTCAGACAAGAGATGGTAAGCCGTGTGTGCTGGACTGTTAACACGCTTTTCAACCTTAACAGATATGACATCTCGCTCTTCCAAGGTATATATTTTTATCTAAAAGACACAAGAAAAATATAATTTCGCTTTAAAAGACACTCACATACACATGCACATACACATTTATGCACACACATGAGCATGGAGTCAATAAAACCTGCACCAGGTAAGGCATCTATCTGCCCATTGAGTGCTAAGGAGCCAAACATCATTTCACCTCAGTCTTGGGTTCCCAGAAGCCTGAATGGGACGCTAGTTCTGTGCCATCCAAATAGTATGTGGTTGAGTTAATTTGCATAATATTTTTTCATGAAAAATGAAGACCAAAAGCTTTTCTGTCTTTATCTCTGTGATATTTCCTGACTCCAGACACTAAAAACAGGCTGTCATCAGGGTGCTAGACAGGCCAGTGCCCTCTACCGTAATGCTTTAGAGACAAGCCTGTGAATTACAACACTCTCCCAGGATGTCAGGCATGTCTTGAGTGGTCCAAAGATGCCCAGGAAACAAGCCAACGATCTCTAGATCAAACTCAGTTTCTCAAAAGGATCCTGGAACACACTTCTTTCCCACAAAGCTTTCTTTGCTTTCTGAGTCCCAAGGTCAGTTGCTAATATGTAGTATCTGTTAGGTAAACAGAGGAGGCATCTGACATATACTTAAACACTAATATTATTTCTGTGGCTTTGAGCTTTCTTCCTTTTTTTTCAAACAGTTATCAGATCTATGTGTTCGGCTAGGAGCACATTTCTATTCTGCTCATTTTCTCCATCTCTTTCAGGGTATTTTGAAGTTAGTGTTGAAATTTTCCATCTTATAATCTATTCCCATGGCAACAAGCTGTGAGAAGACAAACAAACACGAGGTTAGGACTTCAACCACAGGAATCAAGCAGATGGAAGGAAACCAAGCTGTGAAGAACTGACCTTTATTAAACTTATATCTGTATCATAGCATCACCCTCACGATGACAATGAAGAAATGGGAAATCAACCACAGGAAGCTTAGGCAGCAAACAAGTGATTACTCCCCTCTGTAAAAACGCATCCCTTCCAGGCCGTGTGTATCTTTAATTCCAGCCTGCAAAGAAAGGCCTGGACTAGACTGTGAGCACTCGTCAAATACAAACAAAATCAGGCGGGGCCCCACATGGCTGCCATCAGCAGAGAACCGAAAGGAAGTCCACTGGACAAAATCCCCAGAGAAGCTTGGTGACCACGTGTCTCTGGACCTGGCTATGGTGCACTGCAGACTTGGCGGAGCTGGTTGCATGCTTGCTTCAGGGTTGCCATAGTTTCCTTTGGTGAATCAGGGTGTGGGGAGACTATCCTATTGGGCTGAACACTTTCTTAGAGTTGAATCATGGTCCCCTCCCGCCCGCATTCCTATGGTAGAGCCCTAACCTCTCATACCTTGTCACGTGACTTTACATGGAAATGGGGTCTTTGTCAATACGATTCACTAAAATGGAGTCATATTGCAGCAAGGTAGGTCCAGTTGACGGATGTCTTTATAGAAAGGGGAAGGTGGACACAGACATGCACATGGGGAGGACACTGTATAGATGAAGGCAGAGGTTGGGTGTTGATTCTGTGAGCCACGGCTTGGTGAGAGGTGATGAATCAATGCTCCCTCCTCACAAGCGATCAGCCTGCTTACACTTGATCTCAGATACCCCCTTTCAGGAGAGAGAGCCCATAGATTCCTAATGTTTAAGTCATCTAATGGGTGGTCCTCCATTGTGACAGCCTTAGGAAATCAAACCAGTGGTTTTCCAGTGAGCTGCTCTCCAGCTTGCAGACACATTTTATCCTGAGCCAAAAGGAGTAGACACTCATTAAATTCTACCTTCACAGATGGAGCTCACTGACTTGTCCATAGTGGATGAGGGAATGACATCTATTCCTTCCCTGAGAAGGTGAATGCAGCAGGAAGTCCTTCTTATTATCCTGCTACCTGAACCAATGCTATAGATGCAAAGGAGACAAAGAAAGGCAGTGGTCCATTTTGGGTCTCTTTAGATTTGTCAGAGAAGAGCTACTGTGGTGGTTTGGATGAGATGCTCCATATAAGTCTCTGGCATTTGAAAACTTGATCTCCAGTTGGTGGAACTGTTTGGGAAGGGTTAGGAGTTATGGTCTTGTTGGCGAGGGTGTGTCACTGGGGGTGGGCTTACAGTTTTAAAAGCCCATGCCATTCCCAGTGTGCTCTCTTTACCTCTTGCTTGAGGTTGAGATGTGAACTCCCTGCTGTTCCAATCACCCATTGTGGACACTAACCCTCTGGAACATAAGCCCAATAAAACATTTTCTTTTACAAGTTGCCTTGGTCATGGTGTCTTGTCATTGTTGTAGATCAGTAAATAATCCAGCCAGATTTGGCTTAATGGGAAGACTCTCCAAGAAGAGTTATCCAAGAAAATGACTTTCCTTTGTTCATGGGGACAATTCATAACTAACTCCAGTGTTTGGGGGTGATTGGGCAGTTTTTTCTCTGAGATGAGCTCAACATGAGTCGCTCCAGACTCACTGAAGCAAGTCTGCCTGATTCCATCAGTGGAACTGTTTCTGTCACAGTGCTCTGCTGGGATCTCTGTTTGGATGCCAATCAATATCACAATTAACATGTTAGACTTTTTATACTAATTGATAAATATGTTACTGAGATTGCATCATACACAAGAAGAGGAAACTACTTTTTTTGAGATGAGACAGTGTCTCCTGCTTATCCTGGAACTCACTCTGTACACCGTGCTGGCCTTGATCTCACAGAGATCTACTTGCTTCTGCCTCTGAAGTGCTGGGATTAAAGGCGTGTGCCACCACCTCCCATCAGAAGCTGCTTTCTATAGAAACCTAGTCTGTAGAGACACCAAAGGATTATCATAGATGACAAGGTCTTGGGATGGGTAAGTGACATTCTGGGTCTAATTTGTCTCCTTCAGCTTTTTTTTTATAATAAATCCCCTCTGGTCAGCTTCCTATACCAGGGCTCTTTCCCAGAGAGGATTTTTGGGCAATCTATGTCATTTTTGTTTTCACCACATTTTCAGTACATTCTCAGACTTCAGATACTCCTTAAAATATCCATGCCTATCAGGCCAGGGCCCTCATGATAATTTCTCCCCTGGGGGACTCAACTCAAAAAACACTCTTTGTCTTCACTCAGGACACTATTTCCGAGAGATGAGAATCACACATTTTAGGGGGTTCTTGTTGTTCTGTCTGCACCTTAACTTGCCTAAGTTAGACCTGGTCTCTATAGGTTAAACACTACAATATCTCACTTGCTTGTGAACTCCCTTGTATTATCCTCGAGTGATTTCATGTGCATATATGCTGTTTCTAGATTTGTCTCTGGCTGCTTGTATTCTTTTTAGTTATTTCTACTCTTATACATAGAAAATCAAATGTGCCTTAAAACCTTAAGTTCTGTCCAATTTTATTATAAATATAAGACTTCAAATCCAATGACATTGAAAATAAGAGTAAAATATTGGTACACACTGATCCAAAGTTCTTGGGAGGAAAATGTAGAAAGATACTGAGTTCAGCTACAGAGTAAGACTGCTGGGTAGGGGTGGTTAAAACCTGTTGGTGACGTTCAGAAGCTAGCAAAAAAGTGAGATTTCTTACCAAGAAAAGAAAAGAAATCATTGAGGCACCTTTTATGAGCAACAGTGAGAAACAAACGCTTTAGTTATTAAAACTGTTCCTGCATCACCGAGCCCAGTAGATATGGGAGCCAAGCTGGATCTAAAGGGCATAAGGAAGACCCTGGAAAGATTCAACAGTACGAACAAGGAAATAACTAAAACAAACAACAAAAAAGAGATACCCAGAAGGCACGGCGAGAACTGAAAATGGCAAAGGGAGTAGCCTTCGAATTTACTTAGATTCTAAGGTGAGAGGATTGTTTGGTGCCCACCCACACTGAAACACTGAGGCATGACTGCAGTTATGATGGGACAACAGGTGCAAACTTGGACTGTTCCAGGACAGTCAGGACACTTGACTGCCTGTTTTCTAGGATAATGTTTCACCAACAGTGAATAGCAGTCATAGCAGACATACCCTAAAGCTGACCATCCTGATCACCTTCCAAGTGTCAGGCACTACCATCTACCATGGTCTGGGAGTACAGTGGGAGAGCAGAGTGTCTCCTAGAGCTAGTGAATATGGGCATTGTTTCCAAGAGTCCTCCAGTGTCTGAAAATTAAGGCCCAGATGATATACACTTATTTCAACTTGATAATGTGCCAAAATTGCATGCTAAGAGAGATACAAAGAAATTGAGACAAGGCTTCCTTCTTAAAAGGTTTATTATCTGCTTGGAAAAATATCATTGAAAACCCAAATTGTGATGCAAGGTTTAAATACCAACTCACAGCAACTGTGGACGAAGCATCACATGACAGAAAAGGATTCCAAGCCAGATTAGTTTTAGAGATGTCATAAAGGAATGAGCTACTAGAGAGGAAGGAGCACTAGGTCAAGAGAGGACTTACAGAAGCGTCTGTCCTGGCTCATCGAGATCATCAGGTCTGTGCGGATGGAGATGTGGAGGAGGGAGTGAGAGGTGGGATGTGAGAGCCCAGGCCTGCCAGGAGGCAGGAGGGCAGGGGATGGATGTACAGCACTCTAAGTCAGCCCAGGGCCCACCTCTCAAAAACTGCTGTCCCTCCAGCAGAGCAGCAGAGGCCTCAAAATCCTGACCACCATGCTCGCTTTAATGTGCTATGGGCAGGGGCAGCACAAACACTGGGCACTTACCTTGTCCAAGGTGGTGGTAACCTCCCAGCCGCTTTTGGATGCCAGATTTTTGAGAGCCTCCACATTGGTATTACTTAAGGATCCCTAAAACACATGCACACACACAAATTAAAGCTAGGTGTTCAACATATAGCCTTGGGATCAATCATTTTCTGCTTCACTAATGGCCAGTGTTGGAGGAAGTATATATTGAGCCAAACTGATAATGCTGAGCATAAACTAGACCATCTAGTGCTAATATCTAACTTCTGTCTCAAAGTCCAGACAAGGTAACCATGCACTCATCTATTGTGAATGCTTTGAGTTGGTACTCTGAGCTAAGACAGACGCCCTTCAGTGTGTGTGTTACAAGTAGACTTGGATCTCACATTAAATTTTAATGTCAAAAATGTTTAAATGACTAAATTACATTTTAAAAATGTTTATTTTTATTTTATGTATAAGGATATTTTGTCTGCATGTTATGTTTGCACACCACATGTGTGCAGTGCCTGTAGAGGTCAGAAGAGGGCATCAGATCTCGTGGAACTGGAGTTAACAAATGGTTGTGAGCCTCTGTGTGGGTGTGGGAATTAAACCCAGGATCTCTGGAACAGAGTTCCCAGTGTTCTTAACCACAGAACCATCTCCTGAGCCACAAGTAATCCTTCTTGCTCTACAAATGTTCAAGTCCATAAGCATGCCACTCACTGCAAATTAAGGCAAGACACCAGACTGAAACACCCCATGCCAGATGTTCACAGAGTTCAAACTTGACGGTAGGATAACAGTGGCTGATGGACTTTTGGGCATCATTTAGAAATGGAGGGTTATACTGTTCACCCTGTCATCTCACACATGTAGGTACAACCAGGACCTGTTAAACAAGGAGGTTTCTACTTCCATGATGGTATAACATTTAGATTAAGCATTCCAAACTGTCACACTGTTACCTTTTTGCTTATATCCCATTGTGTGCTGAGTGGAACTTCTTTTTTATGGGAAATAACATATTTCCTGAAAAAATTAAAATATTAAGTGACAATTTTGTTCTTTATGCTTAATACAGGAACCATATTATTTCTTCATTTGAAGTTGTTTTTTTGTTTGTTTGTTTGTTTAAGTGTGCTCTTTGGTGGGAAATCAGGAAGAAACATTTTTAACTTCTAAGAACATTAGGGAGCCGGGCGGTGGTGGCGCACGCCTTTAATCCCAGCACTCGGGAGGCAGAGGCAGGCGGATCTCTGTGAGTTCGAGGCTGGGCTGGACCGATAGCCTCCAAAACAATACAGAGAAACCCTGTCTCGAAAAACCAAAAAAAAAAAAAAAAAAAAAAGAACATTAGGACCCTCTCTTCTCCATTGTGTGCAAGCAGGGACTCAAGGCACTAGCTTTTTGTTACGGGGCTTGCCAGATGAAGAAAGCCCATGAAATCCTCCTGCTTTATGTCCTTTACCTGCCTAGGCGAATTCTCCTCCTTGCGATAGCTCCCTGATAACGTCGAACATCATCCTTCAAGAAAGAGGAAGTAGAATCAGTTTCCAGTCTGTTGGCACTGCAATCCTTAGGTACCCTCCCATAGACTAACTGGGGCTCTATGTGTCTGTGACACTTCCTGGCGTCTGAGTTTCCCAACGAGTTTGACAGCTATTTTCATTTCCTTTTCAAAGTGGAGATTTTTTCATTTCTGCTACAAAAGTCACACAGATTTCACTCCTGGGTTTTTGGAGGAGGTGAGCACTAACACTAAGTTGACTCCTGGTTGAGAAAGACAGGTTTCGCACGACTGTGGAGAAACATCAAGGACAGAATGCCCTAGACATGATAGCAGATTCAGAAATGGGACACAGACTGACTGTAGAGAGAGGTACATCGCAGAGAGACGTGGGGAGAAAAGAAAGGAAAGACCCCGTTGTACCTAGTCAGGCAGAGAAGAAAGCAGACCTCTTGGAGATTTTTGCCAGAGGAAAGCTGCATGGAGCTCTGTGCCTATGGCTCACTGGAGCTCACATGGTGACAACTGACCTTTGTTATGGGCTGGATTCTGGGGAAGGTGATGGCTCCCTCCTGATCATCAACAGCGTTGTAAATGAGAAAAGCACTGTTGATGTGGCGGCCTCGGCCCTCGGCCCACTCCTGGCAGTCAAAGGCCTCAACACGCACTCCAACTTCCACACTGCAGGGGGGATGCAGAGCGGTGGGCAAGGAGGATGGGGCGTGGTCGGCCTCCACGCCCACCAAGCAACAGGAGGGCCCTGGCTTTTCTCTTTGGATGCCAACAAATCTGTACAACTACTCAAATCTACTTTGAGGATGCTGCGGGAGTGCCTGAGTGAGTTTCCATTTCCCTTTCCCAATGGGACACACATCCATTGACATATTTAGTTAATGGCGATGGTGAGTTAAATTGTGTTCAAAACACATTTTCTCCCTTAAAAACAATAGTTCTATGGCTTAAAAGAATGAAAGACTGAAGTTTGGCTGGAAACAGAGATTAACCCTCCTTTTTTACATCTAAAAAAGAAGAAAACACTATGTGAAATCTTTTCACTACATACTGAGATAACAAAAATAACTGGATGTAGTCTATCATAAACAACATGCCCATTATAGATATTGGAAGGAAGAACTAATAATTATTTTAGGGTGGTGGATACCAATTGGAACCATCCTGGGCCAGCTGGATGCCCCAAAACTCCAGAGGACAAAACAATTTATTACAATTTTCCTGAGTGTGAAAGACCACAAGCAGAAAACTAAAGTATGAGTCCATATGGAGTGAAGTTTAAAAATAATTAGACAATATTGTGATGTAGCTCCTACCCTCCTACAGTTTGTGCATGGTTCCGAATTGTCACAAGAAGCATATGTTACCTGTTCTGAAATGTGTTGTTGACTATGGCATTGAAGACAAGACGGTCTCCAACTGTGGATGGTCCCCGGAATTTAAACATATCCACAGACTTCAGAAAGGGATGCCCATGACACAGGCGGCTAAGGAAACAATGGAAACAGAAAAGAGGAGATGTACATCCTCCACAGTAGTCTCAAAAACAGCTGATTCTTTGAATGGCTACACTAGATCAGCAAGCAACCTGTTTTCTATGTAGACAACCCCTTTGACTTCAACCTCACATAGTCTTCTTATGTGAGAAGAGGATCCAAACACAACCTCCAACAAGTGGGGAAACAAAGTGGGTATCTCATGAAGATGCTGGTTCTTTGGCATTGGTCTGTTCTCTACACTAGTTCCTCCAAAAGCAAACCAATGCTTTCTGTTGTCATTTGAGTGTCATATTCATCCTGACAGCTCCTGACAAAGGTCCCAGGACACTGTGACTTGTGGATTGGAGGTAGGTAGGACACAATGGGTGACAGCTTACAGCCAATGCTGATCACACTTCTTTCTCAGCTTCTCCAGTCACTGAGATTATCAATAGATTAAAAGCCAAACTTTTCCTCAGAAGAAAAAAAAATGCATGGATTTGTGCACAGAGCAAGAAGGCTACAAAATAAACATTTCACATTTTTTGCATAATTTATAAAAAGGAAAACCACTTCAAACCATGTTTCCTATGCCCTTATCCCCAGGCCAACACTGAGAACCTTGCAGAAATGGTTGCTACTGTCTCCATCCATGCCATAATCTGCCCGCCAAATGTGTTTCCGTGATGGTTTGCATGGGGCGGGAGAACGAGTTCAATGCTCTGAACGGAGGTGCCCATGGTGGTGGCTGTTCCTTCTTCATCACTACAAATGGGATCTGTGAGATGACAGTAGAGACAGTGGGATCAGCCACTGGACCTTACCTGGGCTTTCCCTTCCCTGCAGCAAATACAACTCACTTTCATAAAAATGACATCATCCTTAAAACCTTCCATCAAGGATGTGAGTGGGCTCTTCAGAGTGACTTCCTCTGAAAAGCAGCTACATTTGGTCTGGGTTGATAACAGATCAAGGGGAGCCCTTTAAGAGGCAGGAAACCTGGCCGGGTTTGGTGTTAATCCCAGCACTCAGGAGGCAGAGGCAGGCAGGTATCTGTGAGTTCAAGGCAAGCCTGGTCTACAGAGCAAATTCCATGATAGCCAGGACTACATAGAGAAACCTTGTCTCAACCCCCCGCACACACACACAGAGGGAGGGAGGGAGGGAGAGAGGGAGGGGGAGAGAGAGATAGAGAGGGAGAGAGAGAGAGAGAGGTCCCCCACCTGTCAAGTAAATACACTATAATTTTGATTAAAGTAATGGTTCCACTAAACTGGAGCTTTCTGTGGTGGTAGAAGGGTAGACATTTTGGTGATGACATGCCAGTATTTTGACGGTAATGACAGTTTACTATTGTATATCTATTCACAAACTCAAGTTACCTGCTTTAAATATAGACCCTCTATCCTGCGTCATTTAACCCTCAATAAAGTCACTAAAATAAGGAAATATGAAGTCAGAGGGGGCACTGGCACTATGTGGAGCCCCATAAACTATAGCATGGGGATGTGGTCTTCTATGCACAGGCACAGGAGAAATGACATACACATCGCTGCCCTTCCCCATGTCCTCTGCTTCTTAGCACTCAGATGTTTCATTTACAAACAGACTTGGTTTTACTCTCAACAATGAGAAACCATTTGCTCTAGATGCAAAGCAATAATATGGATTCTGCCATGCTGCTGGCATCACCCAGTGACATCATCACATGCTGCTATGAGGAGATCTCGACATTCTAGTGACCATGCTGGGTTAGTGCAGCTCAGTAGGCAGGGTGCTCATATAAGCCCAACTGTCATTAACAGGAAATGGGCCATTCCTGTTGACCAGAGTATGACCTCAGGTACCTTAAACTCGACTTCATAAGGCAATGTTTTAGATTCACAACTAATTGAAGATCTATTTCTTGTATTTTCCCCTTCCCAGTCCTTTGCTGAAAATGTGACAACAGTTCCCATTGTTCTAGATGTTCTCTCAAATCCTTCCTGTAACCTCCATGCTCTCTCCGACCTGGTCTAGCCTGGTCTAGCCTGTGTGACTCTCAAACTCACCGACTAGGTTCCCTCCCGTCTTTGTTGCGTACATTGGGTTTTTTTATCAGCTACTGTGGAGAAAACTGTCTTCAAAGTCGGTGGGGGGTTCCACTCCTCCCTTCTGTCTGCTGCACCCCACCCCCACCTCTTAACTCCTCCCACTTAACTCCTAGTCTGTCTTGGATCATATCAATGATCTCTTTCATTAGCGGTGCCTCTTTCCACGAAAACGCTTGGATACTAGGGCTGGGCTTCAGGTTCAGTAAGAGCCCCTGTGTCAAGGAAAATAAGGAAGAAAGTGATGGAGGGACGTAATACTGCTCCCGACCTGCCTCCCCAGGCACATGCACACCTTGCATACATATATGTACACACACAAATAAAATGTGTGTGTGTGTGTGTGTGTGTGTGTGAGAGAGAGAGAGAGAGAGAGAGAGAGAGAGAGAGAGACAGACAGACAGACAGACAGAGAGACAGACGGAGAGATTTATGCAATGACTAATGGAACTTGGCTTTGTTGATTCATTCCACATTATAGTCTCTACTCTTAGAATACTTTAAGGAAATGCTATGGCTGGTGAGGTAGTTTGAATGTAATTGGCCCCCATAGTCTCATAGGGAGTAGCACTATTAGGAGGTGTGGCTTTGTTGGAGTGCGCATGGCCTTGTTGGAGGAAGTGCGTCACTGTGTGGGTGGGCTTTGAGGTTTCCTAATCTCAGGATACTACTCGGTGTTTCAGTTGACTTCCTGTTGCCTTCAAGATGTAGAACTCTCAGCTATTCCTCTAGCACCGTGTCTGCCTACAAGCCACCATGCCCTCTGCCATGATGATAATGGACTGAACCTCTGAAACTGTAAGTAAGCCCAATTACATGTTTCCTTTATAAGAGTTGCCATGGTCATGGTGTCTCTTCACAACAATAGAAACCCTGCTAAGACAGTTGGGTTGTACTACCTCACATAACAAACTGCTATTTACGATATGCCTCATTTCTCCCCATTTGCTTAAATAGTATTATCAACAGGCAAGTTTTCCAATCTAGTGGGTGTGAAATAGTATCTCGTGTTGGTTGTAATTTTTATTTCATTGAGTACTAATAAGGTCCAACATTTTTTTCATATGTATGTCAAATATTCTTGCTGACTCTTAATTAAATGTCTGTCTATACCATTAGCTTCCACCCCATGTCTGTAATTTGCGTTAAATGAGTGTTAGATTCTCAACACATACACACACACACACACACCATTTATATATCATATGCACTGTATCACATGTGTGTACATGGAGTTTCTTTTTTCTTTCTTTTTTTGTGATGGAGTCTCAGCTCATAGACTAGGCTACTCTTGAACTCCATATATAGTCTTAGTCTATTCAATGTCTTGCCTGTTTTGAGCCTCAAACTTGCAGTTATCCTACCCTGGCCTTCCAGATGCTGGGGTTACAGGCATGAGCCACCATAGCCAGTTACTTACATATTTTTGTACATAGTCTCCTTATTTCTTTGTTAAACTTTCTAGATTTGTTCTTGAACCATGCTTTTGATTCTCTTTCCTTTCTCATCTAATTAGGTAGGTAATAGCACTACACACTGACTCCAAGGCCTCACATCCGACAGTTACTCAAGCACCATACAGCATCCCAAGCCCCTCTTACTGCTTCAGTTACAGTGGCCTTGTTACTTCATCTTCTTATATGAAATAGTCTTAATGGACCTCATTCAGACTTTGTGCATCCGCTGTCACTTCTAGATCTTTGGGTCTTTATTGATTTCAGTCTCTTGTGGTATTTCATTAGAAGCCCTATTGCCTGGAAATTGTGGGAACCTCTGAAGCTTGGCTAGTCCCTTCTCCACAGTGGATTTTTATATGCTGCTGATGATAACAGGGAACCTAGAATACTGTCCATATTACACTAAAGGTCATGTGATCTACACAGGTCAGTTGTGGGTTTCTAGCACCAACACTGAATGAAGATAAACTTGGGATTGGATCTCAAAGGGAATGACTGCCCCATGCTATCCAACATTAATGCCAAGAGAGAAAGGCTCCCCACCAGGGCTCTCTGAAGGGGGCGCTTTTTTAGTGGACTCAAGGAGTGTTCTTGGGGGACTACTGCTTCCCATGATTTCCTGATTCACCTTTCACCTGAAACAAGTGCCTGACTCTTCCCCCAGTCTTTGGCTTTGGGTACCTGCCAGTCCCAGAGCCAAGACCTGCCTGGTTGAGCACAACTTCTGTCTGCTTTTTTTGCTATTCTCAAGCCACTGCTGACATCACTGCTTCCCCTTTCTTTCTGACTGCTGAGATGGAGTTGCAAACAAACTGTAGATTTTCCTCAGACATCAAGTCTACCACATTGCTATAAAAAATTGGTTTTGTTTTCTGACTGATTTTTAAAGATACATAAACTCTTAACCTCTCTTTACTTTTATTTATTACAAGTTTCTAACGATTTTTCTGAAGTGAAACCTTGTTAGGTTGGGCAGGCAGGCTTGGAACTCCCAAGCAGAAGCAATTTTTTTGCATGAGCCCTGAGACTATCTGAGATTCAGGTGCCGCCACCGCACCCTGCTCCCTGATTGCAAACTTGATTTTATTAGATGAGATTCTTAAAACATGATGAGTTAGTGCTGATTGAGATAGTTTCAGTTTAATATTGCTTGTCCAAATTGTACATTTTTATTCAGAAGAAAATATTAACTTAGTTTATTAGAAACTGTCTATAAACTATATTACAAAATGATAGCAATCTAAAGTGTTTAACTGTTGTACTACCAGAGCATGTTCACGTCTGTGTGTATTACAGGTGGAAGACTTATTTTTTAACTGAATGCCTTCTCACACTTTGTAAACTCCTTACCCTGCACATGTACTATCTATTTTAAATGACTATGAAATAACAAAAAAAAAAGAAAAATTGGTAGAAGATCTTAGAATCCGAGAAACGTTGTTAAAAAAAAGGAACACCCATATTTAGGCAGTTTCCTCTATTCTGAGAGGCAACTAAAGAAAAAGTCACTCACTTTTATAAAGACATGTGCAGCACACACAAGGAAAACTGGGGAATCACTCCTTGGTCATGCTAAACACATGCAGGCCTCAGCTATTGCAAGCATGCAGAAGTGGACAGAGGACAAGTATCTTTTGTGTGGAAGTGTGTCTTCTTGTAGATAACAGCCTATCAGTGGGGAAAAAATAGAGCATCCCCAGATCCAGAGAGCAATTCAGGATCATAGACCTGACTAGAGCCAAGTGTTTATAGTAAACAGACCTCATTCTGCAAGCCAAGTGATCAAGTTCAATGGTTGCCTGTTGAACGTTTTGAAGGTATTATTTCATCATTTTGTTTGGTCAATTTCACATGTGTCCTGTATATTTTAGGTCAGGAACTTTGACCTGAATTCAGGTCATTTTATTCTAGCTCTTGTTTTCATTCTGCACATCCAGAGAGGTTCAACCAGGACAATGCTCTGAAGATGTGATTTTATACTGACAAACTCCAATTTGAATAGCTCAAACTTTAATTCTCCCTCACCCCTAGTGATCCAGTGGTACAGTAACACATTCCAATCATCCCTTTACAAAACCTAATCTCAGTGTATCCACTTTCCTTATGAAAATATACTGTCTGCATTCGCTTTCCCAATATTCTAACAACACTCATTTCTATCATGTAGCACTCCAAAGGGCGAAGACAGCTTCATCAGTCTGGTGACAGTATAGATTCCTTAGTTCAGTGGTTCCCAATCTTCCTAGTGCTGCGACCCTTTAATACACTTCTCATGTTGTGGCAACCACCAGCCATAAAATTATTTTTGTTGCTACTTCTTAACTGTATTTTCTACTGTTATGAATCATAATGTAAATGTCTGATATGCAGAATATTTGACATGCGATCACTGTGAAAGGGTCGTTTGACCACCATAGGGGTCATGACCCATAGGTTGATAACCTCTACTTTAGTTCACTAGTGATGGTCTGTCTACCTTCTTTTAGAGTATGTTTTTTAATCAAAATCAGCCTCTCTGAGACCTAAGGGACAGGGAATAGACAGACCACATGCCCTGTCACACTCCAATGTCCTTTCTTTAAGAAAATTGCCTCTAAGTTCTGTGGTATCATTGGTGACACGGAAGATAGTAACATTTCCAAAATGAACACCAGATTGATATGATAAAGTTGGATTAAAAGATGCTCCATTGAAAAGAATATAATATAATCTGTGTTAGGATAGATTAAGTTAAGTCAGAGAGAAACACTTTTAAAAAATCTGTAGTTCTAAATTGAAGCGAACATGGAGCTGCTCCGATCAGCCTCCTATGAAAACTGATCTAAATGGCAATGAGGCTTTGTTTAACTCATCTTCCTTCTTGCAGCTCCTCCCTCAGTCAGTCTCTCTGGACGCCCTCAGGGGACCCTGGGCCCACAGAACCTGGAGCCTGCACTTCTTCGATCACTGTCTGCATTATTTCACAGCTATTCACATATCCAGCACTAGGGTATGAGTTTGTCAAGTGAAAGACCTTGCATTATTCATCTTTTTTTGTCTCTTATGCCAAGCATGTTCCTTGCACATGGTAGGAGTGTAATGCATCTGTACTAGATGAACTAAGCAACTGATGGGTTTTTTCTCTCCTGGTGCTGAGAAGGAGGGAGCCAGACATCCACAAGACAGTACATGATCTCATCCACAATCACACATTCAGTTCTTCCAGCAAGCACCAGACCATCTGAACAGCCTGTCACTCAGCCCAGGGATGACTTTTCCTCCTGAGAATTCTTGATCTAGAGCTCTCAAGTTAAAGCACTAGAAAATGATCCATGGGACATTCATGTGAGGTGATAATTGTGGAGGGTGAAGCAAAGTCTTGCAAGATTCGGGATAAAAACACGCAGGGACATCAGAGCTTCTTTCTGAAATTACTGAAGAACCTTGTGACTCTTGGGGGACCAATTGCTCCATTCCTCTTAAGAACTCAGGTGGCGCAACTGCAGGAAGGACAGAGACATTTTTGAAGGAAATGATTGTGTGGAAGGGAAGGCCAGTTAAGGTAGGATAACTGTACAGACTCATTAGGATCCGTATGAACTCCTGGCATTTCCCTGAGTTAAGACTGAAGCAGATGTGAGGGTCTTTATCATCTCATTCCTTCCCGGAGTTTCAATGTTGAGAAGAAAACAAGGTGGGCTTGGGGCCATTGCCTTTTTGGCTTTGTTTTTTATTAGTGGGTATCTTGTCTGCCTTAGGAGTATTCTCACGTTTCAGCTACTTCAGTCCTTAGAAAAAAAAGCATCTAAAACACATCTTGGAACCAAGACCATCTTTGTAAAGAAACTCTTCTAAGCATTGTAAATTTAATGATGAAGTCTCTGCTTCTGTAACTGATAGTGGATATTGCTCTTATGAAGTTTTCAAATCATAGCAATATTCAGAAACCGTGTAATACAACATCAACATAAATGTTCTTTTGCCCTTAAAGTCAATTCCTACTTCAATAATGACCATATCAACCACCCCAATCAGCCTTCAATCATGACCAAGTTTTTCTGTCATGGAAAACAATGCCATTGAGGTTAAGCTCCCTGAAGACTCCATCTTCTCAAGGTAGAAATCTTGGAAAATTTCTCTCCCACCCAGTGGGCTTCCGTGGGGTTGTTCCACGACCCTGATATTGCCTCCTGGTCATCACGAGACATCCATACTTCTGATATGCTACCTTCTCACCTCTGGCCTTTGCCTGTGTGCCTTGTCCTCTTCATTCTCCTCATTCTACCCTGACCTATTCCTGTCCTCTTCTCCCCTTTCCTTTTTCTCTGTGCCCTCCTCCAGAGTCAGGGGCGTGGGAACTTCTAGCGGCTTCTCTAACCCCAGGGCTGGCTCACTCCCTCTCCTCTCTAACACTATGTTCTCTCTTGGGATTTTAGAGATGGAGTCATATACAAAGAAAGAGTGAAGAGTTGGAAGGAGAACTGTGACATCAAAGAGCTCAGGAAACTGCTACAGGACTACTCAGAGTCAGTGTGGGAAGCACTAGGAAGTATTAATGCACACTTTCTCTTCCATTCTTATCACGGGGGTCCTCCAGCAGGCTTCTTCCTGCTTGGATTTTCCTTCTGCATTGAGAAGTTATATGGTTCAAATTAAATCCTGGATGAGCAACTGCTTAGTAACCTATGAAGTTCCATATCAGTGTGTCCTGGTCACCGCCCCCTTCATCCCCCATGTTACTAAGGGCTTGATTGCTAATAACCACCGAGACCTCGTCTCTTGCTGCCCACTTCCTCCTCCAGAGGAATTCCGGTCTAGAGATCTACATCACCATGGATAGTCTGAATGCCCAGTCCTTTTCCTCTGTACTGCCTGGGTCTGCAGAAAACAGATCTAGTGCCATGCAAGCTGCAGTGTGAAAGCACATGCTCTAAGAAAGCCCCCTTGCTGTGCCACAGCCATAGAAAGCTCCTGTGTGTAGTCTTACCACTGAACCTGCTGCTTTCCTTCATGATGTTGTTGAAGGTGCTCTCATGCTGTAATCGAACTTTCCTTCTCTCCGAAGCCAGAGTGTATTCTCTTTGCTCTTGCTCCGTTTGTAGCATGACAGGTTTTAAGAGGACCTGGAGGAAGAAAGTTTATCTTCGGGTTTGTCATTTACTGCTTCCTTAAATTATAGATGCCCAATGTGAATTTTGCAAAAGCAGATGACATACCATATGGTTTCTAACTCAAGTAAATAGAGTATTTATGGGTGTTTCCATGAAACATGCTGGTGAAAATTTTTCTTCAATTCTTTCAATTAAAAGATCAAAACAGGTCTCATTTGAAAGACATCCATGTTTATTTTTCTCATTTCATATGTTTTCTGTGGAAGTATAGAGTCTAGGAGGGCTTTTGCCTTGTCATATTGTATCATATTTTGTCCTGTTTGGCTGCTGTCTCATGGAGGGCTGCACTTCTCTGAAGAGGAAATGGAGGGGGAGTGGGAATGGAGTATAGGGCAGGTGTGGAGATCTAGGAGGAGTGGAGGGAGGGGAAACTGTGGTCAGAGTGTATTGTATGAGAGAAGAATCTATTTTCAGTAAAAGTTAATATATGTAAGTTCTATGAAATATTAATTCAATGAATAAGGTGTAGGGGTTATAATTCCCCTGAATTTTTATTGATTTTTTTTCAAAAATTAAGAGATCAAGGGCAGGTAATAAAGGCATTCTAGTGAAAATTATCTTGCACCAAGAAATATTCCTAATTTGGAGATTTCATCACATGGTCAAAACAGTGTCTAGTAGGTAACCTGAAAGAATCAATATGTCGGTGTAACGTTTCAGCTGCTCTCCAGAAACCTGGGAATGCCGTGTCCAGGTTCCAGCTCCCCCACCGATGCCCACGTGCTAGTTGTGTGTGTTAAAGGTCTTGGCAGCTCCATGGTACCTCCAGTCTGAACCTGACCCTTTACCCAGATAAGACTGAAAAATCTAGTGACTTGTAACGTGCTGTTCGAAGTTCAAGGTTCCCTGGGCTGCCTGTCTCATTGGTCAGGAATGTGTGGATTGACAGTGACTCCTGTCTTATGCTGCTTGCATGATCAGCAGAATATATTCGGTAGCCTGGGAAATTTGCACCGTGGCTCCTCTGAGGAGAAGACCCTGGCATCCATCATGATGGCTCCTAGTCCACAAAGTACACTTTGTGTGCCTGAAAATAAACTTGAGAGCAAGTGCTGCCTGGAAGCCGAGGCCATCTGAAGGTCTCGGGCATCTCTCTGCTGCCTCACTCCCTTCCACACAGTCTAGTCTTGTGGGCCACTCTCACTGCCTGGCCTGTGCGACTGTTGGACCAAACTGTGTTAATCATTGCCAGTTTTATCCCGGAATGAACTCACTTTGGATAGAGACGCTGGTATGTCTTGTGGTTCAAAGCAAACCACAGCCTGTCATGCCTCTGCACATAATGTGCTACCAAATAAGAAGGCACTAACTGGAAAACTAATTGATCTGGGAAAGGTGCTCTGCAGTCGATGTTGACTGAAGCAGCCAGCTGTCATAGCACCATGTATCTGGATCCCCAGAGTGGCTCTTGGGAGCCAACTCTTGCCTCTGTAGAGATGGGACAGAGGTGTGCCAATGTGCCCATTCCACTTCTTCCTAAATCCAGGGAGCTAAGCGTGAGGCTGGAGGGGAGACACCTTCTTCTTCTTCCATGTGAAGCAAAGGATGGGGATGCAGCCTCCGCCCTGTCATTTCTTGTCAAGCATGGGAACTCTGTATCCACCCCGTAACAGTCTCACTGTGAAAACTTCAAAGACTTTTCAGAGAATCAAGGAGAAACTAAAGGCTGGCCAGACCTCTCTCACTGATTATTTTGTGTGAACATAGGATCTCTGTGATTCTTTGTCTATGACTCACTAGGTCCAACTTACATCCCGGGAAGGTGCAATTTCATTTTCTAGATAATATAGTTGGCAGATGTGCACTTCAGTTTGGAAAGCAGCACCCTTGGGCAATGGGGATTTGCCTGCAGCACTTTTAATATGAGGCCTATATTACAGAAGGCACTCCAGCTGCTAACATTCTGTGGGGTCACCTTTGCTGGCTGAAGTGGAAGCATGGCTTTGTCCAAGCTGTGTTGGCATAGCAGCCTCTGTGAGGAAGACGACAGGCAAGAGGGAGGCATGAGCAGTAGATCTTATCATTGTCAAGTGCTTAGAAGTCATGTTTGCCTATTCTTTGATCATTCTTGAATGAAAGACTTAACATTATAATTTGAATTATTACATTTTTCAAATGTGTTGATTTCCCCTACATACCCTAGCTCTAATTAGAGGTGACATGAAGGAACCCTTGGCATCCTCCACTGAGGTAGGGCTCTGGGTGGGTGGGAGCTGAGCAATGCATGAAGACACAGTATTTCTTTCAAGGATGTTTTCAGCTCAGATGCCCTAAAGTTCATTTTTAAACTTTCCTAACTCAGCAAGTTGGATACTTTCCTGAAGGTCTAAAAAATGATTGGGCTGCGACCTTCAAATACTTGCTGAAATTTTCCTGCTTTAAAAAAAAGTTCAACTTAATTTTGAACTCCATAACCAAAAAAGGAACTAACCCAGTAAGCAATATTTTAAAGGAGTAGATATGACTTCCAGATAATTTAAAACTCTGTTTTCCCTCTTTCATAAATCTGGTACTTTTTTCTCTAAAGTATCCTCTCAAAAGATCTTCCAATTCAGCTCTATGATGTTGCCACAGAGTAATAGCAATAAATATCAAAATGAAAAAAATCTTGAGGAAGTGAGTCTTACAGTAAGAAGCAAAATAATTCTGAAGCAGTTATTGCTATGTCCCTGGCTTACAAGAAGGGTATCTGTTCACATGGAAAATTTACCTTTTCTTTTCCAACTGGCTTAACTACAAATGTAGAGAAAGCCACACAGAGGAGCTTCTCAGCACCCGTGAACTTGTCCTGGACTATGACCTTGATACTGATCTGAAGGAAGAAAACAAGATGACAGTCATCCAGAGAGCAGATTTCAACTGCAATACCGGAAATGCAGTTACACACTTCTCCTACCCTGCCTTCCAGTTTTTAAATGACATCAGCATTTTAATTTATTTTTAAGTGACACTATCATTTCAGTGATGATCTCTATGCTGTGACAAATGAAACTCTTCTGAATGTGGGAATATATACACTTGCCATGAAAAATACTTGGGATCCAGCTGTCTAGAATATGCTGTATCATACCCATTGCCCAGAGGAAATACTAACTTTTAGGCTAATTTTCTTCCAGTTACACATGTCATATTGCATATATACATACAAGTAATATTGAATGTATGTTTATAAGTGTACATACAAGGTACACATCAATGTTTGCATGCATTATACATTTATCATGTTGTATTTGAAGTTCTACATTCTAATTCTTAAAAGTTTGCCTTGCTACAATAAGCATTTTAAAATCATATTACTAGTAAATTCTCTCTCAAGAACAAGATGGGCTACCAGAGAGAAGAACTATAACTATTTTTGACCTTTAGTTATTACATTTTATACCCCACAATAACAGGAGGCAAATGTGCATGTTAGCTTCAACTTGGTTTATTGGGGTTGCTTTTTCTAGAGCAGTCAACAAGTGACTGAGGCATTTTGTAAGGATTCTGTAGTGGGTGGCTCTCCCTCTGTGGGAAGAGCTCTGAAGCTGGTGCTGCAGACTTGCACTCCACAGAAAAACGTCCTTAGATTTGGACTAATAAATATTCTCCTCATATATCACCATGATAAGTAATACTATCTTCTGAGAATAATGGGCAACCCGGGGCATCTCAGTTCAGCACTGAGTAATGAATGATAAAGTACATGTATTTCTACATCCTCGCCAGGAACACTGTGTACAAAAATAATCAATCAATAATCCATGACTCACTTTAAGTCACTTAATTTAAAACAGAACTTTGTATTTGCATGGTAAATCTCAAGTTAACTGGATGACAATGAATCAAACACAAACCAATCATTCTTCACCTCTATAAGCAGCACCCACCCACAAGGATGTTCATGGCTGAGAAATACACAAGGAAGAATAAAATAAAACATAAGCAGGAAAAGGCTATGTGTTAAAGTTCAGAGACTCTCCGCTACCAGGACAGCTGACTGAGGTGTGTGTGATGAACTCATGTCTCAGAGGCATGGGGAACTCACTTCTGCTAATAGTAGGTAAGGCTGGGATTATTCTCCATGAAAAGAAGAAGAAAACTAGATAAGGTATAGGAATCAACTGTTCCTATTTATGGGAAACAGGTGACAAGGGCTATGATGCCCCAGAATGGGAAAACAAATGAAAGGCATATAACATTTCCTCTCATCCTGGAGGTAATTGCCAGATGACAGTAAGGGAAGGGAACCCCACCCATGCTGTGCTGAAGGAGCAGAGATCAAATAGATCGAGGATCTGGAATTTGTTGGGCAGAGTACCAGAAGAGAGATACTTGCATAAAGAGAGAATTCTGGAAACACGCATGTGGTCACACACAGCATGGACCTCACAGAGCCAGACCAGAGTAGCTTCAGAGGAACCCGCCTCACGCTAGGGAGCTGTGAGGTGAATATCTCCACATCTCCCACACTTTAGGAATCTTCTGAGTTCTCTCCAGGTAGACCTCACCAAGCCTGAGACATCCATAGTGGCCTGCAAGAGGCGACGGTTCGCATCGCAAGGGGATGGAGACACACAGTTTGGGTAATAGTATTGTAAGAAGAAGTAAGAAATAGAATCTAGTCTGTAAAACCACACACACACACACACACACACACACACACACACACACACACACACACACGTTCCCTTCTCTCCGGCACATTCACCTTGCCTGTATCCTTCTATAGTATTTGGTGTCACAGTGAATGTGAGTGGCAGGGTTGGGCAGGGTACATCAGCCCCTTAGCCTTCATCTGTGTGTCTGATTACAGACTTAAGGCTTTCTGAAATCTAGAATCCCTGTCAGCTGTAGGCATGTTCCAGGCCTCCTACTGTGTGCTCTGAAAGCAGTGAAGACAGGTCCTCCATCAGGTGGTCCTAAGGAAAGGGTGCCACTCACCTCCATGCTCGTGCTGAATGCTCTAGTCACTTTTGCTCGGATGGTAATAATTTGTCCAATTCTGTTATTAACAAGAAAGAATGGTCTCAGCAATCCTAGGACATTTCATTTTAGACTTGGCTATCTAGCGGACACGTGTGGCATAAAGCAAGTCCACCTTAACCTGATGATAATTCTCATGTACGGAAAATTCAGGTTAAAGCTAATAGCAAAGACAGGCCTTCAGAACAGATGCTAACATTTAAATCGTGCTTATAATGTTAACACACTCCCTCTATTTAATCAGAAAAGAGCTTTTGCAAGGACAGTGTACAAGGCAACCCTATCTGCAATAGATACTTTTGTGTGTAGCCTCCGTTCCACAGGAAACTCAGGGAAGCACACGGGTAGACCCGTTCCACTGATGCTTACTTTATTAGAATATTAGCTAATAAACAAGCCTACCAGCAAACACAAAGAAACAAGCTGGGTCACCAGTCAGCTTGCTAGGTAGACATGGGCGCTCAGAGATGCCACACAGACTGCCCACTCCCCACTGGAACTCTGAAAACTTTGAGGTCAAGTCTTTGGGTCACTAATGCAGGCTCCTCTGACGCCCACAGCCACCAGACTCCACTTGAACTGCTTTGTCAGCTTCCTCTACACGCTTGTGTTTGTGTGCTCTAGCGGACCCCATCACCTTGCCTCCTTCCAAGCTGTGTAGTCAGCCCTTTCTGCTCTCAGCCTTCCTATGCTCTGCTTTCCTGACCTTTTCACGCAATGAAAATAGTTAAGGTTTCTCCTTCTAAAATCTTGCTTTCAATCCTAGTTGATTTGCATATCTAACTTTGCTAGCAAAATCACAGCTCTTTCTAATTTACACTGTTCACTGGGTTTTGACAATGGTGGCATTGAACTAAGGTGTAGTCAATGAATCAGGGCTGCTGAGCTTGATAAAGCAAAGTTTTCTTAGGGGCACAGGTACAGAGAAAAACAATCCCAAAGGCATAAAAAAGAACGACAGCAGAACCTTTGTCATTAAATGACGTACTGTCCCTCAGTGTGGCCACAGCAGTGACAAAAATGAATGCTTTATGAATGCTGGTACAAATCAAGGCAGCATGATAAATGCTTTGACTCACAGCGAGCAGCATGCCTCACTGGGCAATAACCCTGTGAGCTTGACATAACAATTCCCATTTTACTCTCAAAAGGAATTGAGCTTAAATGGTGATATAGCCGCAACTAGCTGGGCCAGGGTTCAAACCCCAGTCTTTTTTTAAATTTAATTTAAATTAGAAACAAGTTTTGCTTCACACATCGATCCTAGCTCCCTCTCCCTCCCCTCCTCTCCTGCCCCTTCAACCCTCCCCCAACCCCTCCTCCAATCCCTACTTCACTCTCCAAGGAGGGTGAGGCCCTTCATGGGGGATCTCAAAAGTCTGTCATATGATCTGGGGCAGGGCCTAGGCCCTCCCCCATGTGTTCCCAGGTGGAGACAGCATCCCTTCACGTGGAATGGGCTCCCAAAGTCCATCTGGATGACAGGACTAAATGCTGATAATATTGCCTGAGGCCCCAAAGGATGCTGAGGCCTCCTCACTGACACCCACATTCAGGGGCTCTGGATCAGTCCCATGCTGGCCTCTCAGCTATAATTCTGGGGTCTGTGAGCTCCCCCTTGTTCAGGTCAGCTGTTTCTGTGGTCAAACCCTAGTCTTATCTGAGTTCAAAGCCTTGGAAACATGGTCCTACTGGGCTCCTAGAAAGGATAGCAATTAGTTCTACTTTAATCATGGCAGAGAGGCTCTTTAAGATATATTAAGGACAGTCTATTAAGTAAGTCAGTTGGTTTTCCTGGAAGAGTGACCATATCTACTAAATGCCTTTGTGCACATATTGAGGCCCTATGTTCTGTGTCTCTCAAAAGTAAAGGAAGGATTTTGCCTATGTACATAGATACACATCTTTAAACAAGTAATTCTTGTGTTGGAAATCTGAACAAATCCGTACTTTAGTATGCCTTTCTTAATTTTTACATTAATCCCATTAATTTAGAGCCATACAAAAACCTTCAGAGAGAAGACTTAGGTAATGTTGAATAAAATGGTCTATGCATTTGCATTTTGATGCAACAGTTCTTTTTTAGGGGTCTAGTCCCAAAATACACTAGCAAAAATACAAATACACACCACATAAATCCATGTACTTAGGCATTATCTGTAATACCAAAGACAATTCGGTGTTTACTGATGAGGACCAATTGAATTAGGGATCTATACGGTGAATACGAAAGTATCTGCTAACATGATGACCAGCTGTGTGCATTTCACTAGGGTGATTTTATGGGTGGACTCTCATGGAAAAAGGGGATAAAGTGACATCAGATATTGGATTTTACTTCTTAAGGAATATGAATAAATGCTCAGTCATATTTTGATGTAAAGGGGTAATTATCAGATAAAAAGGTAGATACTTAAAAGAAAGGAGGATGCCTGGGAAGCAGTGAGAGCAACTAAGTTTCCAGAGAGAAATGCTTCTTCCCACATTGGAGCCTCCTTCTTGTAAATGTTTTAAATGGTCAACTGGATACATCAAAAATAAAATGCAATCTTAAAACCCAGACCACAGTTGAAATGAACTCTGTTCCCATGGCAGATTTAACACATCTGGAAAAGAGTTCTTTAAGCAACTTCAAATGCAGTGGTTGTGACTATGTAATGATTTTAAGAGGAACCTTGGTATTTATGAGTATTTACTGAATTATTTACAAATCATGACTGGAATTTGCTTCAGAATAATTCACATATGGGAAAGACCACAGAGGGATAAGAACATACGTGAGCTGATCTTTCTCACAGGTTAGCCATGAGTTCTTGTGATGCACCTTATTATTTCTAATTTTATTGCCTGACTTGATGTTCTCTTCCACAGGACTATTAAAGCACATAAGCACACTCATATATAAAACGTTCCTTAAGATGCACTTTATTTACACACACGAGTCGGTATGAGCACTGCACCAACCCAGAGATATTTATTGTCACCGTCTGTCACTCAGGAAAAAGAGCCATTAACGATGAGATGATAGACGGCTTGCCACACACAACACTGAAGTGCATCTAACGCTGGTGGTAACTTCGCAAGACTGAGATTGACTTGCACGGAGATTAGTGAACACAAGTGGACACCAGGACTTTTGTTGTTGTTTTTTTGTTTGTTTGGTTTTTTTTTTGCATCCAAAGATCTTTTTTTTATATATTTTATTTTCCAGTTTAAATTTATATAAGAAACCAGGTTGCTTCACAAGTCAGTTCCAGGTCCCTCTCCCATTCCCTCCCCTCTTCCCATGCCCTCCCCTCAACCCCCCCCCCGTTATCCCCTCATTCCCCCAGGGAGGGTGAGGCCCTCCATGGGGGTGTCCATAGTCTGTCATTTCATATAGGGCAGGGCCTAGACCCTTCCCCAAGAGTTCAGGGTGAGAGTGCACCTCACATTGCTCTATGGGAGTCCAAAGTCCGTGTGTATATTTGGGATGGGTACTGATCTGCTGCCCAAGGCTCAATAGATTCTCTAGGCCTCCTCACTGACACCCAGATTCAGGGACTTTTTTTTCTAATTTAGAGTGGGTCTAGTGCTTCTTGCTTTCTAAGAAACACAGTTGAACGAGGCCCAATAAACATGTGCTGCAAATGAACCCGTAAACCCGCAGGAACTGAACAGAGCGGTGCCACTTACCTAGCTGTGTCCTCAAACAGAATGTCGTCCATTGAGGCGGTGACACAGGAAATCCCGGCATGTTTTTCGGCTTCAAAAAACAGTACGCCATGTTAGTAGCTCCCATGAAATGTTTTAGCAAAGGGAAGAGGGAATGTTCTGGTAACGCATCCCCTCACTCATCACAGCACTCCGGTGCCCACCCATAGAGGTCTTTGCTCTCTATGTTGTTTCTATGGTGTGATGATCACTATACTTTCTCCTGAGTTTTAACTTAGGAATCTCTAAATTTGAACTTTAAGACCAATACTTGGGAAATCTGGAAGCTATAAGTAATAATTTTAGCAAGTTTTTTGATGACTCTAAATGTTATGTTACTATTAAGCATTACTTTCTTTTGTTCTCTAAATAAACATCAAAGCTACATCCACTGTCTGACAGAACTCGTAGCTGGATGTATCTAAATCTCTAAGGATTGTGAGCATGGCATAATCTGCCCCCCCCAGGTCACCTCCCACAGCTGAGGGGAATGTCCCGGGGAGTCAGGGACACACAGGAGGCAGGCAGGCTGTGCCCTTCATTTATTATTACCAAACTGATACCAACTTGCTGTGCATAACAATGTTGGAGACACAAAGGAGAGTGCTGCGAAGGGGAGCAGCAGCAGTGAATTTCCATGGTCTGTGTCTGCACTTAATTTGTCCAGAACTGTTTTGATTATTGGTTTCGTGATGGCTGAGAGGCCAGCATGGGACTGATTCAGAGCCCCTGGATGTGGTGTCAGTGAGGAGGCCTCAGCAATCTCTGGGGCCTTGAGTTTACCATAGCGTATGAATGAACTTTGGGAGCCCATTCCATATGGAGGGAACCTCTCTCAGCCTTGACACATGGGGGGGGGCCTGTTTCTAATCTAAATTAAAAAATATAGTGAGAAAAAAACAGAATTTATGCTATTCGGAAAGGGTTTTGATGCGTCTTTCTGTTAGTTTTGTTTTTGAGAGGCAGGCGTTCAGTCAAAATCCAAACAAGATTCTCATTGACTTTTTTTTTTGAGACAAAGTCTACACAGGCTAGGTTGGCCAGGAACTCACTTCATAGCCCAAGCTGGCCTCCCTCCAGCTCTGGTCACTCCCCCCACCCCCATCCCTCCACCTCCCATGCCTTAGCCACTTGGAGTGCTTTCCAAGCACTTTCCAAGTGCTTTCCATATTTTCCAATGAGCATCACCTTGCTTGGCTCACTGGCTTTGATGACTAAAGAACTTTTAGCTTCATTCTTAAATTTGAAGTCTTCACAGCTGATACACATTATGAAGAAGCGACAGTGCATTGAATAAAACTCTTGTTTGTTGCATGCAATGGTACAATCTAAGAATTAATTGATCATCTCAGGTAAAGAGAGGTGATAAATTAACCATTTTGGAACTCTGTGTGAGAGGCAAGAGGCGTGTTAGTTACAAAACAATCCTGCAAAAAGACGGGATATGGAGGTGTCAAACTCTAGGCCTGTTCAGGGTGGGCTCAGCTGAAGCCAGTGTAGCAAATATGAGGAACACTTGGCCAACTTCTAGGTGTTGAGCAGATCAGTATCAGCTTTTTATCAGTCTGCTCAGGGGCCATTATAGATCCATTCTGAGTCCGTGTCCTTAAAGCTGACATTTTCCAGAGAAGCACTGAATGTTGTCAAAAACATGCTATAAAACATGGACACAGCAGGGCATTCAGGGTGCATACCTTTAATCCCAGCACTCGGGAGGCAGAGGCAGGCGGATCTCTGTGAGTTCCAGGCCAGCCTGGTCTACAGAGTGAGTTCCAGGACAGTCTCCAAAACAATACAGAGAAACCCTGTTTCGAAAAACAAAAACCTTTGACACAAGAGTACCTAGTAACACTCAGTGCATAAAGGAACAGGCTGCCGAGTTCACCTAAAGTGTTCTTATTAACAGAGTATGTTGTGTACACCAACGCGATTTGCCAGTTTTAAGTGGTTGAGATACTAGTGGTTAATGTAGTAGAGCCGTATTGCATTTTCCAGGTGATTACTATGCTTACAGAGCACAGTACTAACTGTATGAGGGATGAGGGACAACCAGCAGCAGGAAACACCACTTACTAAGCATTTCTCACTGGCCATGCACCAAGCCTGTCAATCACAGGGAGTACTATCATTATTCCCATCTTTAAATGAGGACATTCAAGTCTAGAACGATTCAAATAATCATTCGAGTAGTTCTTGACTACATAGAATAAGAGTTCTAGAAGAGAGATGGGTAGATGAAGCTGAAAAAGGTATCAGGGAGTGACTCACTGAATGTGGGCCCCAACAGCCATGCTTTCTACTGAAAACCTACAGGAACCAGTGAAAAAGAAAAGAAAAAATATGAGGGGCCAACATAAGGTCCCTTGCTTTTGCACATGATTACATGATGCCTTTTGTTCGTTTTTTCAAGTGTGCCAGTTAGATGATATGAATCCGATCCTTCTGGTCCTTACATTTTGATTGCCCTTCATATGTTCATACAGTAGCAAACTTAGAGATATTACTGATTTCCTAGCGAAAAGTGGAGGCAGATTAGCTGCGATGATGGAATAAGAAAAGGTGTCCACATAGAGGGTTCTTGAGCCCAGGTCTGAAGGATGAACTGGAGGGGAACAGATGTGAGAGCAGAGCAGAAAGGAACGTTGCTGAGCAGACACAGCAGCGATTTCGTGATCTTGAGGAGAGCTTCTGGGGTTCTCATGGAGACATGAGAAGGAGGGCTGAGATGGAGCTGGAGGGAAGGCCAAGAGCAGGCCCCGAGTGGACCTGGAGGCTCTTGTCATCGGTTTAGAACTGTTATTGCTAGGTATTGTTCGGTGTCTTCTGATCTCTGCTGTGACCATTGGCTGCAAACACCAATGCACACGGACCAACCAGGTCTCTGCTGTTGCCAACAAGGTGGGTGGTAATTTTAGCCGTTGCTCTCCTACACTTAGTACAGCCTTTCAGGCTGCTTTTGAGGGTCTCTTAAACATGTCTGATTAGAATACGCTTACATGTGAAAATTTTTATATTAATCTTATTTGGGATTCTATGGATTCTTGAATGAGAGATTCAAGAATGAATCAGCATGATTGAGGAAATTAAAACCATTATTTTTGAATAGGAGTGAGTTCCTCATACTTTTTCCTCTGAGTACTTTATACAGATGTAAAAGCTTTGTTTTATGTTTTTTTCACAACCTTATGAGACTTTGTGTGTGTGTGTGTGTGTGTGTGTGAGTGAGTGTGTGTGTGTAAGTGTGTGGTGCTGGGAATTTAATTCTAACCTCATGCATGCTAGGCAAGTGTGCTATACCACTGGACCATAACCCCAGTTTTTGGTTGTTTGCAAGATTACAATATATAAATATATATCTGTGCAAATATTATATATAAAACATTTGCTAATTTTTCCCTACCCATCTTCATTTAGTAGTTAAGGCTATCGAGTATATTTTAAATTTCAGATGTTATAGTTTGCAATTATTGAGTTTCCATGCTGTCCTCACAAAACACTTTCTATTTTTCCTTTTGAGATCTTTTGCCTTTTTTCATTCTTTACAGTAACATTATTAATTTTCTTGAATATAACTAAAATAGCTACATTAAAGTCCTTGAATTTTAATTCTAGCATCAATGCCATCTATAGATTGGTCTCTATTGAAAATCTTGGAAGAATGAATCATGTTTGCCGGCTTATTTGTATGTAGATATTTTCTATTATAGCCAAGCCATTGTTGACTTGTTGAAATAGTGGGTTCTGATGAGCTCTTTGAAAAGGATTGGTTTGCTTTTGTTATTTTCTTGACAAAACAAGTAGTTTTGTTTACTAAGTCCCAACTATAAACCCTGCCATTTTAGAGATGGACATGGCTACTTCACTTTCTGTGGTCTTTACTAGGAAGTTTGGAGTCTGTCCTATAAACACAGAATTCAAAGTGTGCCAGACACCTGGTCTAGGATCAAAGGCAGGGCGCTTTGCCTCCCCAATTTTCTCTTTTCTAAAAATATCTCTCTTCATATTCCAGTGGATGTGTTTTCCTCAAATATTGTCTTTGGATGTTCAAACTGACAAACCTGTGGATTCCTAACTAAAAATTTAACTGGGAGAAAATTGGCGGGGTGCTCTCTTATCCTTAATGCCATTAAACAGCCCACCTCACAACACACACACACACACACACACACACACACACACACACACACCTGGTAAAACTACAGAAAAAAGAATTAAACTCTTAATTTCTTCTCTTAATTCTTCAAATCTTCTCTTCTGAGTGTAACTTTCATGTGTTCCAAACACTTCTTGTTCACCTTAATCTACCTTTATTTGTTCTATTGTCCAGAGTTAATAGTTGTTAACTATGGGGGAGAGTTTTCTGATAGAAAGTACTTGACCAGGCTAGAGGGAAAACGTTTCTAACCTTTTTAGTAAAGAAGCAAAGGGTAGAGATGAAAACATGTCTGACATGACAATATTAGCAGTTTTGGGATGTACTTTAGAGGCATTATGGAGGTGAGACCAGAATAAAGTTGAGAGTTCCTCTGATGCCCACAAGGCAGGGTGGTGGGGCGGGGTCTAGGCAATGGTGTGGTGGCTCAGCATGGGGGCTGGGCTTAAGAGATTCCTCCAGAAGGAAGCCTTAGTAAATCCAAAAAGGAAAGGGTTGTATACTGCACATGTGCAGGAAGAAGTAACGTGGATGGCATGTCAGGGCTGAGCCCCAGATTTTTAACGACACAGCTGGATGAGTGAGGTAGCACTCTTTAAAAGTGATCATTCAGGGAGATTCACTGCCAACATGGAGAGGAATTGTGGTCTTGAGAGAGTTCAAAACAAGAAATGGACATGGGAGGTGGAGGATGACTCGGTGGTGGTTTCAAGAAGGACTGAAGGGGTAGAGGGCCACCCACAGCAATGGGGCCTACTGCTAATGTGATTTTTCTTTAAATATCGAGAAGTTGTTTTGGAATTCAGCAGTGTTTGAGGGTTACAGCATTGTCTTGGGGGATATGACTATAGCCATTATTTATCTTAGAGCACTAGTCAAAGGAACACTGGCTGAAGCAATGCTAGAAAAATTGACTTTTGCTGTGCTGGGTGGAGGTGCACACCTTTAGTCCCAGCACTTAGGAGGCAGGCGGATCTCTGTGAGTTCCAGCCTGACCTATGGAGTGAGTTCCAGGTCAGACTCCAAAGCTACACAGAGAAACCCTGTCAATCAATCAATCAATAAAATAAAATTGGCTTTTGCATTGCTGTTCATTCACATCTTACCTGAACAATGTTCCCTGCTTATGTGGTATTTCTTATTTCCATTGAATGTTCAAATGGCCATTATCTGTATTTCGTAAGCCAACTTTATCATAAAGATTCTTTAATATTTCTAATATTAACATTATCAGTTATAAAGATTATTAAGGTATAACATGATTGTCTAGAGTCTTCCTAGTATCTGATTTTCCAAAAAGGTCAAACTTCATGCCAATTGCATTCAGTTGCCTTGGAAACAGGAATCATTATTATCAGCAACACCAATCAGTTCTATACTTGTTTCTTTTATTTACAAATGAGTAAAGGTCCTATTTCTGATTCCTTGTTATATTGTTGTAACCCAATTCAAATCTTGTTAGAAACTGTTATGGCAGAAACCAACCAAATCAGCAAATAAAACAAATAGGTTGTCCTGGGAAGTGTAGTTGAATTTGACAGGGGCTAACATGCCCAGGTTAGCACCGTATTAAGAAAAGTGAGTTCATAATATTCTGAGCTTTACTTCTGCCACATGCAGTATAAGGGATGTGACTGGAACACCAGACATGTAAAGCTCCCTCCACCCAGGTCTAATTTGTCATCTGAGCACACATTTCCCCAGAGCTGGGACCAGCACAGGGGCTGGACTTAAGAGACTATGGACTCCGGGGAGATGGAGAAAGGATCTGGAAACAGAGGAACACGCCATGGAAATGGCCAAGAAAAAAAGAATAGGTGTAAAGTTCCTTAGGGAGAAAAGCTCTGTGTGCATCCTAGAAAAATATCAGAAGGCTGCCATTGCTTGTATCAGACAGTCTGGAGGGGAGATGGTTACCATGGTAAATTGTTCATATGGGAAACACAATGTTATATTTGTTCTTAATGTCAGCACCCATCTGGAGGAACATCCTATAGTCAGTCTGATGTCCTGAGCTGGGTTCATAATCAACTCTGTCTGCCTGGCACTTTAGAGAATGAGTTTTCAGGTACAAGAAGCATCTGTAAAGAATGAGGAAAACTTGGATTTTACTTCAAGGATGATGGGAAAAAACTGAGAGGTCCTAAGCTGCAGGAGGAGAGTGGGAGTCCGTGATATGATTCACGTACTCAAAGTTCACTGTGTGCAGATAACAGATGCCAGGGAAGCAAGACAACACTAGGACACCAGAGGGATGTCTTCAGAGGGGAGGCACGGTAAGGCTTATTTGTATCCAAGACTGTATCTGTCACTGGCTAGAGATGACAGAAGTCAGCATGGGTATAGGAGACGTTTGTTTCAAAAGTACTGCTCAACCCAGGCTCCCAGCTGGAAAACCATGCCTAAATCTAACCCATTGTTTTTAAAAGCGGGGCTTCCATCCCTCATTGTAAGCCAACCATAGTCAGAACCCCAGTGTGTAGCAATGCTGATAGGCTGCCTTTCTTAGGGTGACGACCACACAATAGTCTGAACTGGGTCGACTGAACAATAGACATTTAGTTCCTCGAAGTTCTGAGGGCTATAGAGTCCACAGCTGCCACTTGGTGCTCTCTTCCTGGTTTGCCGATGGCTCTTGCTGCAGCGTCACAAGTTTCTTTCTTTCTTTCTTTTTTTTTTTTTGGTTTTACGAGACAGGGTTTCTCTGTATTGTTTTGGAGGCTGTCGGTCCAGCCCAGCCTCGAACTCACAGAGATCCACCTGCCTCTGCCTCCCGAGTGCTGGGATTAAAGGTGTGTGCCACCACCGCCCGGCGACATCACAAGTTTCTAAGCTCCTATGGGATCAGGATATACCCTTATCATCTCGTTAACCTTGAGTACTCACTCAACTGTCACTTCCACAAAATACAAACCTTGGGGGTGGAGCAGAGATATGATTAGGTCCACATTAGATGCTTTTGTCACCATCCTCAGTGCTTCCTTTAAGCTGGGCAAGCCCTTCACAACTAGACTACGCCCCCTGGCCTTCTCCTTGCTGTTTTCACTCTCATCTTCTCTCAAGAATATCGGCAAGGGTCCCTGACTGCCTGACAGCTGATGGCAATAAACTGAACCAAGAAGGGAATCTGGCAGCGGAGCGATCTTTCACCAAGGAGACATTTAGCTCACTTGAGAAAGCATGAACTGGGACTAGTCTTGTACGAACACTTTTGTTGTTGCAGTAATAATCTAGTTGCTTGTCAAGAAAATACGTTATCACGTGCATGTGCGCATTTGCGTGGTGTGTGCGCTCGCATACACACACACACATACATACACGCACGCACGTGCAAAACCAGAGCTTCATGCTTGCAGCGTGAACACGTTTTCTAACTTCAGTTCTACTTAGTCAATGAACCCAATCTTAGAATTTTAAATATGGTTAAGTATAGATACAAGCAATCTGTCTTTTAGGGGGTCTTCACTATTGTGGGTGTTAAAGGGAGTCCTGTAAAGGAAACATCCGAGGACCACTGATCTAGGTCATTGTCAGTAGCTGTCTTAGTCATCAATACTGCCTCCACAGCTCGCCTGCTCTCAGCTCTTGGGAACATTGCCCTTCCCCTTGGCTTCCTTCTCCCGAGCTATCTCAGGCTTCCACGCTGGATCCCCAGCTCCAGATACTCCTGCCTTTCAGGATCCACCAGCGGGCAGCCTGTCCTCCCCCCGCCCTGCCCCATTCCCCCGACGGTGTATTCGCGTGGGCAGCGGGCTTACCAGCCAGGCAGGCGGTGGTGTCCATCCACTTGAGCAGCTGCCCCGCACTCAGCTCTCCCCGGGAGTCGGCGTGCGCCGGCTGGATGGCCTGGCTCATGAGCACCTCTCCGGGCGCCACTGTCGGTTCCATCATCCCGGCTGAGAGACTGAGAAAGCCGAGCGGAGCCGAGCAAACACCGGGCACCAGCGCCAGGCCATCCTACTCCCCCGGGACACGCCCCCGCTCCAAAGGGCACCGCCTGCTCCTGCCACCAGGTGCTTAGGAGGTGAGAGGTCAGGATTCTGGGAGTCACTGGGGACTGCAGAGGAGGGAGGGAGGGACTGCAGCCAGGAGCCCCAGCTCTGAAACCGGGGCAATCGGTGTTCTCTAGAATGCAGGTCACCTGCTGAAGACCTAGGCAGAGGAGGGCATGTGGAGAAGGGATTTCTGGTTTCTGGGCTTTGCTCGGCTCTTGGGTTTTGCTGCTTAGGCCTTTTGTATTTTTTTTCCCTGCTAGGCATTGCAACACTTATTGCTTAAGCCTTTCTTCATACTCTACCTTCTAATTCTTAGAACATTATAGTGACTCCAAAAAATGTTTAGTTAGGAAATTGATCCACTGCCAAACAAATGAAAAACAAAAGGTTCTGAGAAGCTGGTTTGTGTAGGTACATCAGAGCCACCCAACTAGAGAAGGTGACACTCCTGAGTTTTCAGAAACTGTCACATTGTTACCAATGGTCCCCACAGGTCTCCAAAGATGCCTTCTTCAGCCTTCATCATGGGAGACAAACCTAGAACACCGCACATGAACTCGTGGCCCCCACACAGAGGCAACAGCCCCTGTGCTTTGTGGAGCTTCAGTCCTGGGCTTTACTAAGCAGCTCTTTTCAGGGAAACAGGAGCATCACCCCCCCCCCAGAGACTCCTGGATTCATGGATGGCTGCCCAGGGGAGCACTCTTGTGAATGAAGTGATGAAGGCCTGGAGGGGTAAGCTAAGACATCAGTACCAGCCGCTGGAAGCCGGGCCTCCTGTCTGTCTTGGGACTCCGGGAATGGTGCTGGGCTTTCAGCTTTAGGCCTCTGGCCACCAAGAACAGCCTGGGAGCATCAAGGAGAGCCCGGGGGTTTAAAGATACAGTTTTTATTATTTTAAATTACATGTATTAATGTGTGTTTGTTTGCGCACCTGAGTGCCGGTCCTCAGAACCTCTAGGCTGGAGGAACTGGATTGCCCTGGAGCTGGAATTAGAGGTAGTTGTGAGCTCCCATGAAACCAGCGTGGAGAGCCAGACCTCTGAAGAGCAATACTAGCTGCTGACCAGTGATTCATGTCTCCCTGAGCCTTGAACACACACATACTTAATAGACAAGAGGAAAAGAGGCACTTGACAGATGTTAGAAGCCGTTGTTTCTAGTCGGTTTCAGACTATGCAAGCACAAATAAAAGTGGAATACCTTCAGTTAGGCAAGTAGTAAGTTCGATTTTGTAAGAGGCATGAGGCAATTAAAAGTGACTTGAGGGGGAGGTCTTGTGTAGCCCAGGCTGGGTTTGAACTTCCCTGCCTGACCTCCCAGTGTGAGATGACAAGCATGTGCACTCTTCCCTATTTGTGAAGTCCTGGGAGAGTGAACTCAGCGCCCCCCACACCACACCACGTGAGTCGCATCCCGAGATGCTCCCTTTTCATAGCCATACAGTTATTCAGTGGCTATGTGGCTCTGTCCATACCATACGTGCTAATCCCCTTTGGAAAATGCCTAGCACCTTTTCATCTGAGGTCTGTAACGGCAACTAGCACCATTCAGAAACTAGTGAATTAGAGGATTGCTCAGTGTGAATTCACTCCATCTGCAGATAACTCTATGGATGGAAGGTTCTTGTTGATGTTGCACATGGCCATGTGACTTGCCCTGGGATGGAAAGTGGGGAGGTAGACATGTACCAGGTTTCACCTTGGACTCCCAGGAACATCTGGCTTTTGTTTTGCCATAAGGAGATTCTATACCAACTAATGACCTATCTGCGTCTGACTGGATTCATACAAGGTTCCAAGAGGTGCTGCCAAATGGGGACCAAGCGTTCACATACCTGAGCCTATGGGGGGGGGCTTTCTTACTCAAACCGCCACAACAGGCAGCTATTGTCACCTACTTGTATGCTCCCTTGATAAATGTCTGTCTCAACAGGACAAGAAGATACCAACAGCTGCACCGGGCTGGCAGTGGTGAGTGCTGAGGCCACTGGACAGGGAGAGAGTGGAAGCAGCTGATGTATGCTCTGTGCCCTAACAGGAACAGCAGCCAGAGACCCTTCCACCACAGGAGGCGAACCCCAAGCTGAGGACTGCGCTGGTCCACGTATTTTATACCAAGATGAGTTTACTAACTCTTCCTGTTGTTGATTTTATTTTGTTTTAGACAGAGCCCATGTATCCCTGGATGGACTGATAGTCTCTCTGTGCTAGAGGCTGGCCTTAAACTTGTTGCAATCCTCCTGCCTCAGCTGCTCAAGCATTGTATTTATAGGCATATATCACCACAGCCATTTTTCATTCTTCTATCATTTTTTCCGGACTGCCTTCATCTGGTTTGGTTTTAGGTCTGGAAGGTATTCCCTTCTGGATTCTGCAACTTGTGTAGCTCTGCGTTTCTTTAAAAGCCTAGGATGCCTCACTGAAGCTCTTGGAACCATGAGGGTTTCTTTGGGGGGGATGTACATTATCGATTTACTTTTTAAATAGTTAGTAGGCCACTCAAGTAGGCTAGCTCATGTGGTCATCTCTGGTTTTAGAAGATGAGTGTAGATGGGAGTGATCATTTCGGGTGCCTTGCCACAGGCAGACCTGAGCTCAAAGCTGAGCTGGTGTTTTTCTCCCATTGGGCAGCACCGGCCAGCTCTGCTGTCCCTTCCTGATGCTCTACGTTCACCACAGGACTCCGTCTCCTGCCCACAGTTTCCTTGCCTGCTGAACAGGTTCTCATGATTCTTCTGTCCTCTAGAAACTGCAGCTCTCGAGTTTTGAGGGTGAGAACATGTTGTTAAATATGGAATAAGGACCTGCATGATGGACAGAGCACAAGCAATGGAGATCATATTAACCATAGTTTATTATAGTGAGACCAAAAAGGGGGGAGACAGACATGACAGAGAGAGAAGATGAGAGAGGATGAGATAGAGAGAAAGACGAGAGTGATATAGAGACAAGAGTAAGAGAGAGAGAGAGAGGAAGACATGAAAATGTGAGTTACTGTAGTTAAAGCAAGATGGGATAGTACAAATGCTTGGACACTGACTGATGGATTTATGTAACTCCTCAGTTACACACTACTTTTGACTATCTACCAGATTTAAAACCAGACTCCTTTAACTGTGTGTTGTGAATTTATATTCACAACAGAAAATTTGGAAGTACTATTCAAAGAGTCTGTTTTCTCTGAACCATTTAAAATTTAAAAGTGGCAGTAGCACACACATCTTTAATCCCAGCACTTGGGAGGCAGAAGTAGGTGAATCTCTGAGTTCAAAGCCAGCCTGGTCTACCAAGCAAAGTACACCATCAATGTGGTGACTAGTTACCCCAAAAATTTTAGTTTTAAATTTCTCCAAACAGGACATGTCAATTAATTGTAAAACACTATCAAAATGGGTAAAATCAACATTCATTCTTTATTAACGTCTAATCTCCCAAGCCCATTCATGTTTCAGCAAATTCAGTAAAGCCCTGTGTTGTCATGTCTCTTTAGTCACCCTCAGCAAAGAACAATTACATCCCTCCCTCCACTTGTGTTTTATGACTTTGAAACCACTGAGGTTCACAAAGCAGGTATTTTGTGAAATATCCCCCAGTATGAGCACCTCATGTCTCCTGTAACTCCACTGAGCCTCCGTATCTTTAGCAAGGACACCATCTTAGTTAGGTTTCTATTGCTGTGAGAACTACCATGTCCAAAAGCAACCTGTGGAAAAAAGGGTTTATTTCACCTTACAGGTTACAGTCCACCATCCTGGGAAGTCTGGGAAGAAACCTGCATGCATGTAGGGGCCACGGAAGAGCGCTGCTTACTAATTTGATTTTCATGGCTTACTGAGCCTTCTTCCTTATAAACCCAGGGCCTTCTATCCAGGGGTGAAACCACCCAAAGTGAACTGGGCCATCCCCTATCAACCACTAATTAAGAAAATGCCCCTTATCCAATAACTGATGGAAGCAGATACAGAGATCCACAGCCAAGTTCTGGGCTAAGCTTTGGAGTTCAATTATAGAGGGGTAAAAAGGATTACGTGCATAAGGGAGGGTCAAGATCATGATAGGGGAAACCCACAGAGACAGCTGACTCGAGCTAGTGGGGGTTCATGAACTCTGGGCTGACAACTAGGGAGCCTGAATAGGACCGACCAAAGCCCTCTGCGTGTGGATGGCAGTTGTGTAGCTTGGTCTGTGTTTGTGGGGCCCCTAGCAGTGGGATCAGGACCTGTCCCTGACACATGAGCTGGCCTTATGAAAACTATTCCCCATGCTGGGATGCCTTGACCAGCCTTGATGCAAAGGGAGGAGCTTGGTCCTGCTCCTTGATGAGCCATGCTTTGTTGATTCCTATGGGAGGCCCGCCCCTTTCTGAATGGAGGAGGAGTAGATGGGGGGTGTAGACAGAAGGTGGGGGAGGGAACACGAGGAGAGGAGGGAGGGAAAACTGGTTGGTATGTCAAATAAATGAATAATAATAATGGGTGCATTTCCCGAAACTGAGGTTCCCCCTTCCCAAATGACTGTAGCTTTTATCAAGTTGACAAAATCTAATCAGTGAACTTCACACACCAATACATTGCTATTAAACCATTGCCTTCCCTTTCTTGTTCAACCCCAGATCTCATGATATCAGTATCAAAATACAAAACACATTGCAACTTAAAAATATCCTACAGTCCTTAAATACTAAACACATTAAAAGTTCAATGTCTTTAAAACATCCAAGACTCAAAAAATCTCCAGTCTCTCAAAGTTTCGAAGTCTCTTAAGTATGGGCTCTTGTAAAAATCAAAATTGGATTAGATGTTTTCTTGCTTGAAAAGAGAAGAAACAGGGTATAGCCACCATCAAACAAAAGAAACACCAAGTTCAACAGCATGAAAATCTCAGTGCTGAGCATCTGGAATCCACTCATGACCTCTGGGGCTCCGAAGGGCTTGTCCCGTAGGCTCTGGCGGGCCACACTCCACACTGCTTCAGTCTCCAGTGCTTGTTTATAGCACTGGCATTTCCAAAATGCTAGGGTCCCTGCTGCAATTGGGTTGCACCTTCACCTTTTCCTGGGCTCTCTTCAGGTACTGCCACATAGTACAAGGCCTTCATACTCTCCATGGATCCACTCTGTCCTAAGGCTTCTACTGCATCTGAGGCTTCACATTTCTTCACCTACGGCCTTTCCTGGTGCCAAACCTCAGCTCCTCTCCATGACTTCTTCATGCCTTTGAGACCAGTATGACTTGGGAAGCCAAGTTTGGCTAGCACAAGGTACAGGCCTTGGCCAGCTCTGGACCACTGCATCTGTGTGCTGACCTCGAGGAAACACTTCCCCGAAGATTTTGCCTCAGTGATGCTGGTTTCTTTTTAAACACGGTTAATTTCCCTGCTGTAGCTGAGAACTATCTATTGTCTCAACAAAGCAAAGGTTTTGCTTCATTGGTTCTGGTCTCGTGTCAATCACAGCTGATTTTTCAGTCCTAGCCAAGCAGAACCACACATTCTTAATACAAAATATCACACAAACAGTCCTGGTAGAGTCTTTACTTCCCTCTGAATTTTCATAAGCCAGGCCCCCATCATCTGCGTTGCTCTTAACACTCTTATCTTCTAAGCCCTGAGCGCTCAGTGGTCTTTCTAGTCCTAAGTTAAAATGCTACCACCACACTTCCCAAATTACCTGCTCTGGTCACCTGTCACAGCAGTACCCCTGGTATTGGCACCTGTCACAGCAGTGTTCCCCAGTGTTGGCACCTGGTACCAACTCCTGCCTTAGTTAGGGTTTCTATTGCTGTAATCCAACATGGATAGCAACTTGGAGAGAAAACAGTTTATTTCATTTCACATTTCCAGGCAGCAGAGGAGGAAGCTAAATTATGATCTGGAGGAAAAAAAATCAGCATCATGAGTTGAAATTAAACAAGGAAACAGATTCTGAAAAATAAATAAATGTTACAAGTGAAAAACCCCAATGGATCAAATACAGTCACAGCGGAAAACATCATCAACAGATTAGCAAACATAAGAGAAAAATTATCAGGGAGGGATGACAACGTCAGGGAAATACCTCATTCAAATGTCATTAAAGAAACATAAAGAAGTCAGCAGGACAACACTTTCCAAAGACTCTGGGGTAAATATAATCAAGAGGCCAACACACAGAGAAACCCTGTCTCAAAAAAAACCAAAAACGGAAAAAAAAAATAGAGGGAGACCAACATAAGGATCTACGAGTAACAAAAAGGGTTGAAATCAAAATTAAAGGTATAGAAAATAAATTCAATGGAATTATTGGAGAAAAATCCCCAAATTCATGCAAAGAAATGGACATTCAAGCTAATAAAAACTTCTTAGAATCCCCAAAATTCATAACCTGAGGCGACTTCCTCATGACGCATTATAGTTGAAATGCCCAGAACTACAGTTCACACTGGTAAACAGTGTGTAATAACAGACCTCTCAACCAAAGCCCCCAAAACATGGAACATGGTACTTCAAGCCCTGAAAACGAATAACTGCCAACAAAGATCACTATAGCCAGCAAAGGTATGTTTTAAAAGCATCAACGGAATAGAGACATTTTAAAGCACATGCTAAAGCAATTCATGAGCACCAAGCCAAGGCTGCAGAAGAAAACAATCACAAACAGAGGAGGAACAATGGTTCCAATCATGAGATCACAGGAAAGGGGTGAGATGAGAAAAGGCAACCTCAGAGATCCATCGTGTCCAACAGCATTCTGTAAACAAACATCTCAGTCGGAACCCTAAAGGTAAAGAAGCTTAACTTAAAAGCTGCTTGCTTTAAAAAATGAAATCTAACTATTGTTTTCTCCAAAATTTTAACACACATCACTAGCAAAGACATAGAGAAATTGAGAGTTAAAGGACAGGGGTTAATACATGAAAACAAAAGCCCAAACAAGCTAGCATAGTTTTTCTGCTATCTGATGCAAGCTGGCTTCCAATGAAAGTAGTCAAGGAAATAAAGACAGACACCACATAGTAATACAAGGAATAATTCATCAGGAAGACAAACAAATCTTAAGTATCAATGTACCAAAGGCTGAGAGACTCTCAGATTCATAAAATAAGCGCTAATGTGAATAAAATGTCCTAAACCAATCAAGATGACTTCAATTTCCTGTTCTCACTACAGGCAGGCATCCAGACTAAGTCAACAAACTTCAGAATTAGTCTGCACCAAAGATGAGACCTACTGAGGCACTTACAGAATACTTAATTCACTATTTTTTCCAGCAGCCAGTGGAATGTTCTCTAAAGTAGGTCACATTTTAGGCCATAAAACAAGCGTTAAGAACTGTGAAATGCTGTTCATACACTCCAGTCCTCCGCTCTACCAACTGAGCTATCAGGTAGGAGTGCAAACTTGTATGATCAATTTGGAAATCAGTATGGCGGTTTCTCAGGAAAATA